ACTTTTGCCGGAGAAAATAATTGACAGCTTGAGTAATAATAATACTTTATCCTTATTAAAATATAAAAAATGCAATATTATCATATTTAAATCTGAAAATAACCAGTATACATTTTTTCTAAAATGTGAGACGCCACTGGCGTTTTTGTTGTTAATTGGGCGTGTGCGAGAAAACGACGTAAACAAGCAAGGTTGCCAGTTTCTAGTGAAATTTCACTAAATCTAGTGAATTTTGAACCAATCTAGTGATTTAGTGAAAACTTTCGTTAAATACCCTATTTCTAGTGATTTTTTTGAAGCTGAATTGAAAAATAGAATAGAAAAGATAAAAACATCTACGAAAATAATGCTATGATGATCTATCTTGGTAACAGGAGTAGTAATGGGACAATCCGTATAGCTGTTTCAACTATGCGTTCATTAGTCGCTTTTTTTACCACTAATCTGAGCTAACTTACATCGACTGAGCTTAGTTGTAAGTTCTTTTTGTGATTGTAAGTCAGAGTCTATCTCTCCCCCCCCCTTACCGAGATACAGGGATCTTGACGTCAACCATAAACCATATCAGAAAGTGGGTGTTCTGTGCATCATACGAACATTTAAAAATAAATTCATTATTTTAGAGAGAGAGTAAAAGACTATGATAAGGGGGAAAGATCTTGGTGACGTTAAAGAATTTATAAAATTTGATAAAAAAAATTTTGAACACGTCGTCTGTCAACTAAAATTCGCGTTCGTTTTACAACTTAGCTTAGATCAGAATCTAACTTTTAGTTAGTCAATTACACCTGTAAAAAGAAAATGACTATTGTGACTGTCTTGCGAGGTCTGTTATGTTAACATATTGCTTTCAAATATTGTTTAAACATATCAATTTCGTAGGAAGATCGCGACAGATTTAGGTGCACCATTTTCGCATACAAGCCTAGAAGAGGGTTGAAAAGTACATCGATTTTAAGTAGAATGAAAGGAACTTTACGAGTGGCTCCTGGGGATAACAAAAATTGAATATGTTTTATTGCCCATATTTTCACGCAAGCCGAGTTTACTAAAATTAAATAAATACAAGTATGCAATTTATTCTATCTTTTATAAACAAAGTACCTATCGGATAGTTCAAACTTAGCAAAGTATCCGATCTTTTCTATTGGATAGAAACTTTTTGCAAATTACTACATTAATATAAGGTACACAAATATTTCATTGGATCTAGTGATTTTCTGGACATATTTTTAGTGATTTTTGATTTTTCGACCTGGCAACCTTGTAAACGACATCAGCTCAGTCGATCCGAAGCAAAACAAGAATGAAGATGATGCCGATTGATTTCTAGATGGACAACTTGCAAAATCATTGTTTCTTAGCTATCAGATAAAAGTTTTTATTATCGAATAATTCATTAACCTTTTCAGAACGCATAACAACCAGAGTTGCATAAACTGGTATAGAAACCAGACATAACAGCAAACTTTTACGGGGAAAATAGGGAAAACTGCAACTATTGCGGGAATATGGACACAGCTGAACATACCCTCTTTGTATACGGAAGATAGGATTATGCCATTGAGGGCTAGACAGAAAGGTTCGGTGTACTGAATACAGAAAACCTGATAGTTCACCAGAATTAGACAAAAAGTTACCCTGAAACGAAATTTTTTAGTACAGCTTAGAGAACCAGATAACAGTGAATACTTTGACTTATTTTGACAAAATTTTAATATTCGCAGAGATGAGAATGATCGAAAGAAGGTATTATATATACATTTTTCGACGTTTTTTTGTATTTTATTTGACTTTTTTTACAATTTTCTATCAATAATGTCCTTATACATTTTATGCTAAACTTCATACTTTGGCCGCTAGAGCGCGCCAAAAAAATTAATATATTTTGCGGTTTTTCGCATTTTCCATGAAAACCATTCACTTTGGAGGAAAATTTCATCAAAGCAAAGTTGTATAGCGGAAAATTTCCTATCAAGCAGATTTTCCAGAAACCCATCTAGTTACTGTTCAATTTTTCGTATTGTTAGTAAACAAATAAAATGGGTATGTTCAGTTAAATTTCACAATCCATAATGTTGCATCTAGATTTTTTTAACCAAGAGGACAGTTTTGACAAAAATTAAATAATTTGTTGAAAAAACTTACTTTTCGCGCATGCGTTGTAGCGGGGAAAACGATGGGTTTCCGGAAAATCTGTTTTATAGATTCGATACGAAATTTTTCGCTCTACAACTTTGAACTAATAGAATTATCCATAAAAGTGCCTAGTTTTTATGTAAAATGCGAAAAACTGCAAAATAGGTATGTTTTTTTGGCGCGCTCTAGCGGCAAAAATATGAAATTTCGTAAAAAAAAATATATATAAAGGCATAATCGATAGAAACTCGTTTGTTCTTTAAAAAAGTCCAGTAACATTTTTCATAAAAACGAATCGTTTTTGAGTCATATACAAAATCAGGTACAAACGCCGAAAAATGTATATAAATATACTTCTGGAAAGCAGATTATACATTAGTCAATAGTGAGATAGCTCAACATAGTGAACATTTGCAAGATGCTGCTAATAGTTCTTACGAAACTTTACAAACATAGTGATAAACAAAGTGATAAATGACAATATTCCACTAGAAGTAATAAATAAAAACCCTGGATCAATCGAAACCACTTTAAAAGTAAAAAATGGAACCTATAGGTACAGGTCGACAATAGCTGAGGAAAATTATGCTGCATATATAATCAGAACAATAAACTTAAAAATTTATTGGCTGTATGAACATTAAAAAGTGGTGAAAAGAATACTGAGTACAAATAGTACTCAGCTCACGCTAAGAAACCCAAAAACAAATTTAGTAATCGCAGAATCAGCAGAGATAACAGAAAGATTTGCAGAACTGTTCAGTGCAGCTTATACAACAGAACCTGATACAGAATCACCGTAAATAATTGCAACAGAAAGAGTTGAGAATAGTAAATATAGAATTTGCAATAGTCTCAAACAAGACTCAAGTCCTGGAATAGATGAAATCTCACCCATTTTCCTTAAAAAAATGTTCTAATAGCCTTCTTAATTTCCTGGCGAGAGTTGTGAACGACTCTATACAAACACAGGAACTGCAAATGGGCAAGAAACAGGCCATAGTCACTCCTATATATAAGAAAGGCGACAAAAATAATTGCATAAACTACCGTTCAGTCAGTCTTTTAAAGCTGTAGCGGTAAAGCAGTTTATGATGGAACACAGAGTTTTACCATGCAATCATCGTGGATTTACGCCCAAAAGATCTGTTGTTACAAATCTTCTAAGTGCAGTTAACCAGTGGTCAACTTGGAATGATAACAATCAGCCAATTGATGTGATATATCTCGATTATGAGAAAGCGTTTGATAAAGTTCCACATAGAAGGCTGCTTAGCAAACTGGAACACTTTGGAATAAGAGGCAATCTATTATTGTGGATTAAGCGTTTCTTATTCAACCGGCAGTTATGCGTAAGAATAAATGGACAGCTGTCAAACAAACATCCAGTAGAAAGTGGAGTATCACAAGTTTCGGTTTTGGGTCCCATATTATTTATTTTATGCACCAGCAATTTATGCAAAATCATAGAGTCCGAAGCCACTTTTATGCAGATGACGGAAATATCTACTGCAAGCCACTGGAAAGCTCTCGCAGAATAAAATAACTACTACCCCTCAACATAAATAAGTGTACAATATTACACATTAGCCCAAATAATCCTCACACACAGTACACCATAGATACAAACGAAGTCGAAACACACAAGGCTCTTGGTGTAATATCTAAAAACATAAAATGGGAAACCCACATTGCTAATATAATGAAGAAAGTCAACAGTCTCATTTACCTTATCAAAAAGCTTTTAAAGACCATTCCGAAGATATGATCCTCAAACTGTACACAACTTACAAGACCAAAGATAGAATTTGTACAGACCGTTTGGGATCCATAGTTTGTTAAAGACATTGAATTGCTGGAAATAGTACAAACGAGAGTCACCAAAATTCCACTAACCCTACAAAACATGTATTGTGATTGGCTAACTAAACTACAACTTTCAAGTTTAAAGGATAGAAGAACTAGAAGAGGCTTGATAGAAACATGATAAAGAAGTATTAAGGAAAAGGAGGAGTGAGCAAAAATAGAGACAGTAGGGTGACTGTGGCTTACGTATCAACAAATCGTCTGTGATCACTACCAGTAAAGGATATTTTTTTTTTAGTGGGCAACGTTAGTCCTGAGTCACACACTACCCAGCAGACCCAACAGCTGGGTATGCTTAAAACGCATTTTTCCTCTCCCAACAAAAAGTAACAGGAACATCAAGAAAAAAGGCAATGAGGAAGGCACAGGAGAAAATGAATATTGAAGATATCGAAATTGATAAACTTTAATATCGTTGAAGAAACTATTTGCAACCAGAAAAAATTGAATAGGTCCATGTAGAGAATGGCTCCCAATCGGACGATATAAAAGGCAGAAGGATATGAGAAAGAAAAAATGATAAAAATATAATTATTACAAATTCAAAAATCAAAGCGAAAGTGCGCATTAGTGCAAAATATGTCTTAGACAATAAAAATAAATAATTCCCCACACAAACTTAAATACAAATTATCATTTTGTATCTGCACTTGAAAAACATTGATTCTATTATCGAGAGATATTTCCATTAAACATTAAAAATTTCATACACTTCATACATACATGTTTTTAACTTTTATATCAAACAAGATTCAACCATAATACTAAAATTGTTAATTTTTAATAGTCACTAATATCAGGTTTTTCAATAAATACATACTATAGTTACCAATTTTTTTGACCTAGATTGCATATATTTAAAAAAAAAATCAACAAAAAAGGGAACCATATATCGGATAAGATTTTTTTACAATTAATTACACGTTTTCCTAAATTACATTTTAAAACAGTACGGTAACTGTTCGAATCACTAAAAATCGTTAGGTTACGCACTATCATTTTTCCGAATCTGGTAATGGCGAATTATAATCCAGAACATAAGTCTTCTTCTGAGTGATTTCTTCTATATTTTGACTGGTACACTCACTGCCCACGTGATTGGGCGCCCCACAGTTATAGCACCCTGGCGGAGTCCTCGGTTGATACTGGCTAGAATACATAATTGGAAAATAAGATAAGGAATAAGGGAAATTGTTGTCAGTTGGATAATTAGGAAACTGAGCGGTGAAGGTAGGCCTATAGGTTTGATTATAAGGAAACATTGACCTGTTAGGGGGCAGGGTGGTGAATGGCTGATGAAAATTGTAAGGCACAGAACTGTTGCTGAAATTCGGAGGCGGCGGGGATTGCGTATCTGGCATGGAAGGTGGACCCGGACTAGGCCCATATGACATGCCATTGGACCGCGGCTTCGTGTCGCCCCTGCCGGGCCCATGGGGAGTTGTGGTTGGGGTATTTGCTGGCGTTCCGGGCGGCGTGTCGTTTGGACTGCTATTGCTTGAAGAATTCGATTGGTGGAGCGAGTTTTCGCCTTCTAGGTTCATTGCTTGCATTTGTTCTACCAAGTATGGTCGAATTTTTCCAAGATTTCCCACAAAAGGTGGAAAACGAATACCGTTCGGCTTGACGTCGGGATTTATCAAACCCAGTTGAGGCCATAAACTATCACGCTTTTCTTCGACTGAGTTTAACTGAAATGTAAACACATTTTAATAAATAAATATAAACCAATATGTATTTTTTTTAATTATGTTCATCTTCAATGAGATAAAGCCAACAAAATCTAATTGATGACCAGTTTTGGCTAATTAGCCAGTCTCAAGCATATAATGAGATATCAAATTACCAACAAGCTCTACTTTTAAAAAATCTTAGGTTCTGCTACAAAATTAAAATTAATGATTTGAATTAACATTTTGGTACGATTAAACTTGAAAAACATCTGATATGTCCAACACATGACTTTCCTGTCTAGTTATTACAGGCTTTCTCTGGTTATTTTGCACAACCTATTGTATCACCCCTGTAAATGTTTAGAGGATTTTCCACACACATCTTACTCGAAACAAATTTTTATACAAATATATTCATTGCCAACGAAAATACTACAAAATTAAAATTTTACACTTTACCACAAATTTTTCCGGTAAGGTCCCTTTTAGAGAAATACATCGTCGTTGATACTGCAAAATGTCATAGGGCGCGGCCATTTTGACGCCTTTACCACAGTTTATAGCTAAAGAATCAGTTCACTCACTCTGCGTCGGCACTTTTGATCTCAATGTTCCAGTTTATACGCTGCGCAACTCGGATAATACAATATATGACCGCGTATAATAAAACAGCAGTTTTATGCGCATCCTGAATTTGTATCCTTGGAGTGGATGTTATTTTGGAACTTTCAACTGGTCCGAGTGAGCTAACTGATTCTTTAGCAATAAACTGTGACTCCAAAAATAATATTCACTGACACTGACAGCAACAAGCAAAATATTAAAAATATTGCGCCAAGATGTAGGCAACACGTAATAAGGCATCAAAATGGCGGAGTTTTCTATCTCCTTTTAAAAGGCACTCATAAAGCTGCACAGTGCGACCATTCTCCGTATAGTAAGAGAAAATCAAAGTATGTGTTACCCGTAGGTAACGTCAAGCCACTGACAGGCACATTATTGATTATGATATGGCAACACTGTGAGCCTGGTGATTTGACATGTGTCAGTGTCAGTTCCCACTGGAAGTATTTTGACAGGTCGTTGGAATGTCTAACTTTCCAGGAGAGCAAAAAACAGTGTATTTTTTTCACATATGACCTCCTAAATAAATCACGTTGAACGCTTGATATTGGTTCGTAACATATGAGATTTTGTAAGATTAAGTGCCAGTCAATTTTAATTATGAATTTGCATTAATCTAAATGTGCACTTTTGACATACGACTAATTGAAGTATCAACGACGATATAACAAAACTTATAGAGAATGATATCGCAAAACAATTATTTAAAAATTTTTCTTCAAAATTAGAAATTTACACTTTATTAAATTTCTCGATTACGGACCATTTTAGGAAATTTATGTATAGGACAAAAATTATCTAGAATAACATTACAAGCAACTTTTATTTTAAGAATTTTCTTCTCCAAGCGTAAATAACATATATTCTATAAAATAGAAAAACAACCCCCTATAAAGTACCCCTCAGATGTTCCGACTAGGCCCAAAATTTAATTTGTTTACCGCAGGATGTTTTAAAGCTTAAATTAAAAATTTTGTGTTTCTCTGCATCCGTTCATGAGTTATCGATTATACAGACTTACAGACACACACAGACATCAACGCGAATATAGTCAAAACAGATTTAGAAGACCCCAACGTAAAAATTCGACGAAACCTCGAGGTCGAAAAAAATACTATATTCTTATCCTTATCTGTATAAAGACAGGAAAGTAAAAAGGAGCAAACTATTCCAAAAATGTTCCAACCATAGAGTAAAATATAACATTCAGGTATAAGTAAAATACATGTAACACGAAACTACAACAAAATGAATATCCTTTATCTTTATAAAAGAATCCTTAATATCATACAAACCTGTACATCTTAAGTTGATGTCTTTCTTTATAATTTTTCAAATAATTTTTTTTTAAAACTTAAATAAACAAATTAATAAGTCTGTTTGTTTTTATATGGTTTTCCGTTTTTCTTATGAATATTAGGGTGTGCCAAAAAAACTTTATTTTTTTTCTTGCTTTTCGCCCAAAATTTCGTAGAATAGAATTTTCCATTGACTTTTTGTGCTAACATTAATATTTCACTTACAATACAAAAAAAAACGCCTGTAACTTTTCGAATATTGACGATACAAAAAATTCGCTGAAAACTTTTTTGTGGTCCGTCAGATAAGCTACAACTTTTTCGTCTAACTTCAATAGTTTAGCTGAAAAAGGCAAAAAACCGAAAAGTTTGAATTTAAAGCTAAAATCAAAAAATGAAAATATAAATTTGACTCGATGAGATTTTTTCGTCCAAATTTAATGCTTTATACGATATAGTTTCTTATTTTTTGAATTTTTTGTTTGAAATTTTTTTTTATTTGAAATATTTTAAAAACAGTTAAAACAAATTAAATTAGGATTCAGCCTGTATAAACGAAATAACTTTTTATGGAATCTACTGACTGCAAGACATATCATTGGGTAGTGCTTCAACAATGTTTAATCGGTTATATTCTACTCATAGACTGCAGAACGAAAAAGTAAGTTATTCCGTTCTAGTAAAAGAATGAATGAATTATTTAATTTCATATTCATTCTAGTACTGTGCAGACATGAAACCCACCAATCAGTTCATATTTGGTGATCAGGCTACCATTTTTTTAAATTTTTTTTTATTTTAAATAAGTGACAATTCTGAAAAACTAAATTATCAGTATTTTTTTTTTAATTATTGAGATTAAAAATAGTGATTCTTGTGCAGAATCGATAAATAATTGTATTCCACAAGATATTCATCAATATTTACAAAAAATATTGATATAAAATATTATTCTGATTTATAGTTGCTATGTGTTCAAATAAAATACGAATTTAATTTGTAAACAGTTGATTCGCCTTTAAAGTACTTCCATTTCGAATCGGACCCATAGGAACATGGCTTAATTTTTGAAAGATTGAAAGACAGCTGTGTTATGACATTGAAAATAATAACCAAAATAATTTCGACAAAAACACCCAAACAAATTTCAGTAAAAGATGTCCAGAAGAATAAAATGCCCGGATTGCAAACAACTTTGTGGAAAAGGAAAGGCGCCCGTTGCGGTCGTTCAAAGACTTGAAGTTCTGTACAGAAAACTTCTAAAATGTGGTCCCGAATCCCCATTGATTAAATATTTACCGAGAGACATCTTTGATGCTATTAAAAGAAAAGCTACTATCTACGACATGAACCTATTAGACTGTCTTCAGGCTGGATTTACACATTATGAATATGTAGGTCTATATGCCGCTGATCCAGATTGTTACAACACATTCGCCAAATTAATTGATATGGTGTTACAAGTAGATTACAATTTTAAAGAGGAAGATATACATCCTGAAATAGATTTCGGAGATCCTGAAAAATTAGGTAATTTAGACCCCAGTGGAACCTATGTGATGTCAACTAGAGTGAGATGTAGTCGAGCATTGAAAGGTTATCCATTTAACACGGGACTTTCTGAAGAACAATATCTTGAAATAGAAACGAGAATTGAAGCAGCATTACTTAGATTAACGGGGGACCTCGAAGGTACTTATGTAAGAATCAAAGATATGTCAGACGATGAAATCAAATCCATGAGACGTGAGCACACGCTTTTTCCAGAAATAACCGAAGTCTTAGAAACCGCCAAAACAGGTGAATGTTGGCCAGAAGGTAGAGGATATTTTACCAATGAGAAAAGAAACTTCTTTGCTTGGGTGAACGAAAAAGACCACTTGCGCATGGTAGCAATGGAAAAAGGTGCAAATCTAGGACAGATATTCCAAACAATGGTTAATGCCCTTACGCAATTAGAAGAAAATCTCAGATTTGCAAGACATGAAAGATATGGTTATTTATCTTCTTCTCCATTCAGTCTAGGAACGGGTATAAAAGGTTCCGTACATATGAACCTGCCTAAATTAGGAAAAGACAAACCGAAATTATTTAAAGCGGCAGAGCAAAACGAATTACTATTGAGGGGAATAGATTGTAATTATGAAACGGTTAAATCGGGAAAATTCGATCTCTCGACTAAACAAGCTATAGGCTTAACTGAAATTGAAATACTACAAAAAATGGTTAAATCAGTTAAGGGGATGATTAAGGCGGAGAAAGAATTTGTACTACCCAAAACTATAAAGGAAGGATGTTTAATATAATAAGCAGAACAAGAGTTTCTAAACAAAGACAATTACTACTTTTTACTTAACACTTTACTAATAATTAAAACACATTAAGTCCATCTATTCTTTTCTTTAGTAGGACACAATAGATATAAATATTTTGGTTTCTTAATATACATTGTAAATCATAAAAAAAGTATAAATGTATTTAGCCCATTTTTCATGTCTATATACAGGTAAGGAAAGTATAGGACTGATTTTTTTCGACCTCGAGTTTTCGACGGATTTTTACGTTTTGGAGTCCTCTGAATCCGTTTTAACCATTTTCGCGATGATGTCTATGTGTGTCTGTATACTCAATAACTCATGAACGGATACAGAGAAAAACACCATATTTTAAACTAAGCTTTAATCCATCCTGCAGTGAGCTGATTAGATTTTAGGCATAGTCAGAACATCTGTAAAGGGTCGTTTTTCTATTTTATGGAATATATCCGTTATTTACGCTTGCAGAAGAAAATTCTTCAAATAAAAGTTGTCTATACATAACAAAAAGTGCAAAATTCGAATTTTTAAGAAAATTGTTCAAATAAAAGTTGTTTGCGATATGATTCTCTATAATTTTTGTTTTATACATGATTTCTCTAAAATGGACCGTAATGGAAGAGTCTGCAATAACTAGGGAGGAAAGTCGTGTCAGATTTTTTTGTAATTATTACAGTAGTCTCAACCTATATTCCCAAAGAGAAGTATATGATTTGGAGTGGGTCCAAGAGGGGTAGATTACATTTACATTTAATACATCTTTATTCATTTTTAAATAATTTATCTACGTCATTTAATAATTTTTCAGTCAAGTTTCGCATAATAGATCCTTGTGTCGCCACAGGGAGCCATGCACGATGTCTTGTCTCAAACCATCAAATGCACGTTGTTTATTGCTGGGTTAGTTTTCAATATCTCCTTATCAAATATGATATTATATATCGGTTTTGCTTATTTTTGTTTAAAATCGATAATTTCTCTTAATTAAAAGCTGGGTATGTCGTTAGTTATGTGTTGTGTTTCCCTGAAAAAGCGCGTGAAAAAACAGGGTTGTCTTTAAATGAATGTCCGTGTGTTGCGTCCCGTGTAGTTTATGTATTTCCGGTATGTAAGCTCATGTTATGGAGGGTAGAAAAAAGGAGGACAATCTTATATGGATCTTTATATTAAAAAGTGGCCACCAAAATGTATGCAATTAAGATGGCGCTCGTGTAGCCAGGGGACAAAATCCAATGCTATATAGTCATATAGATTGCTCATTCATAAGAATTATTTATTGTTTATATTATTATTTTTCAATAAAATTTGACTATTGTCATGTACTCAGAGTAAGTAAGTGGTAAAGAGAGGACAGTAAACAATGTTTGTGTCGCCATGATAATATGGTCGAGAATTCTAATTAGAGAGAAATAGATTAATATCTCTACATCTTTGTTTGTATTTGTCAGTTTTACAAAGCTTTTCTCAGACAATTATTCCAGTGTTTAATTTAAAATTGTTCGTGTTGTGGTGTTAAAAGTAATTGTTATTAATATTATATTCATAACAAAAAAGTCATATTTTGTTTTCACTTCATTAAAAATGCACCTACCTACCTTTTAAAACATTTTATTTTATATTCTATTTGGTCAACATTTTCGCATTTAAAATGACCCAGCGAAATTGTTTTACGGTACGCTACTGCTGAGAATTCTAAAACGAGTGAGAAAGCCTTCATTAGAAAGAGAGATACTGATTATATGATAGCGAGATTAATATTGTATAACTTTATGCAGTGGTGGCCTATCTGCTATTATATTATCTAAGGTCGTGTATTGTCAAAATTTATCTACGATCACAGAACACTTACTCTTCTACGATCAGTCACTTTTCACGGTGTAGTTTTTAGTTTTTTATGGTTGAGCAATATTTATTACTATATACTTCATTGGTGTCATTGTGTAATCTGAATTATCGACTGTCGACGTCCCCTGGGCACAGAAGCGCCATCTTAATTGTATACATTTTGAGGGACACTTTTTGTATACAGAGATTGTTCTCCTTTCCTCTACCCTCCATAGCTCATGTACTGGGCTTTGAAAAGATCTCCAGGGCAGATTTTTATTTTTTTATTTAATACCTCTTTATTCAATTTTCAATAAAATTATTTACATTTCATTCATACCCGAATTCGTACATTATTACATTGGGCGTGTTGCCCAGCGTTGTCCTGCTCAGTCACGAGATGAATGTTTTGTTTATCTTTGCATTTTAAGGCTGTGGATATTATGCCACACTTTTGGCTTATTTTGTCTAGAGACAATAAATTATCTTCGTATTTAGTTTTGATTTGTCTAAAGACATTACAACTAAGAGACCAAATTGTTTACATTTTTATGTGGCAAATTATTATTCCCACCAGATTCTCGTTTATTGCGTCTTTGCCGATTTCATCAGTCTGTAAAAATTATTTGGAGAAATTACTTTCGAAAAATAAAATTTGATGTATCCTATAACTATAATTTTATATTATATAAATAAAAATATGTTTTTAATCAAATTATTCTTTGAAGTTTTAATATAAGCTAATTTTTTTTATTAAAAAATCAATATTAATCTAAACAAAATATTAGGGTTGCAAAGAACTCCGTAAATACGGCAACGCTGAATATCTTATTTTACGAATTTACAATTTTTATGAATGAAAAGTAGTTACCGTAACCAGCCGCAACGTTGCCAATTGGGTCTAACAGCTATTTTGTATTTCTGGCAGTATCTGACAGTTTCTGTGTGACTTATTGATTTATTCATTTATAAAATACTATTTTTGTGAACTTTTGTGAGAAATATAAAGAATTATGGTACATGCATGTGTAGTGTTCAATAAGCTAGATCATTTAAATCGAAATTTATGGTTTCATCGGTAAGTATTTTTAGGTTAAGATATGTTATTTTCATTTGAACCAGTGGAGTAGGGCACCGTCTTAAGGCTGTTTTGACTATACAATTTCTTGTACAAGATTTGATACAATTTCTTATAGAATTTAAATTATATAGGATCACGTAGTAAATTGTTTGAAAAATGATTATGCAATCTAATTTTTCAAACAATTTACTGTAAGTTTGATAATATACAATTTATATTGTACAAGAAATTGTATCAAAAACTTGTGTAGTCTAAAACAGTTTTTAAAGTGCTATTCCTTTTATAAATTAATAAATTTTTCTTATAACAATAAATAATTATTGAATAGTGGCAAAGAAAATTTAACGTAAAATGTTGAATACCTTAAAAATTATTTACCTATTGAGCACCTATACATATTTTTTAATATTCTATTTAGGTTTCCGCAAGATCCTGAGAAAAGAAAACTTTGGTTTTCTCTAATAGGGATCCTTGAAAATCAGCCTCTTCGTAAAAACCCAGAGTTGTGTTTAGAACACTGTTTTCCTGAAAATGTTTTGGTACGTGCAAATGATACTAGATACATCAGAAAAGATTGAAACTCCAGACGGTGTGAGGGCTTTCTATTTTTGGATGACTTATCCAACAGGTAAAAATACAAAATATTAATTTTTTGTTTACCTCTAAACATTATTTATTACCTATATGTATGTATGTATATCTAATGTATGGGTTTTTAGTTCTGATTCAACTGTTTTTGGAACACCACCTGCTGCAAAAAGAAACATTGCAGTAAGTTATAACACTAACTATGCATAAAAAAATTAAACGAAATTTTAGTTAATAAAAAAATTAAAGTATTTAATATATTTAAAACGTTATTTTAAATTTTTTTAGTTTTTTTATGATATTTTTTAAAATACCATGTTTTTTTGTAATTATTAAATAAAAAATTATGTATTTTTAGGACAGTGTTTTATTTTGATACCCCTACCTACTTAATGTTAATTTAAAATTTTAAATAATTTTGGTTAACATCATACCAGGCAAATATATAGTAAATGACAATAAACTATAAACCAATAAATATTAAAAATCGGAAGGTAACTTGAATTCGCTTGTATTTGAATTTACCTACATGAAAAATCAGCAAGTATCATGCAAAACTATTGCCATATACTCTGATAGCCAAGCAGCTCCAAAGACAATTCTCTTACCAGAAATCAAATCACGATTGGTGAAAGACTGTCTAGGAGACCTGACAGAGCTAAGTAGTCAAAATAAGGTGACCTTAGCGTGGGTTCCAGGCCATGAGGGATATCAAGGCAACGAAAAGGCCGACGAATTAGCCCGAGAAGGCTCACATAAAGCCATGACAGGCCCCGAACCCTTCTGTGGAGTTGCTAAGGCATTGTGCAAGGCATCCATTAAACAATGGATGCAAAAAAGTCTCAGGAATGGTGAAACAACTATTCAAGACTGAGACAGGCCAAACAGTTCATCAAGGAACCATCGGCCAAGTTCACGAAAGACCTACTGGATCAAAAGCGTCAAATCGTTAGGATAACAGTAGGCCTCCTTACTGGACACTGTCGTCTCAAAAGTCACATGAGTGTCATAAATCCAGCAGAAGAAGCAACTTTGTGCAGGTTCTGTGAAGAAGAAGAGGAAACATCATTCCACGTCCTGTGCCAATGTGAAGGCCTGGCTGGAATGAGGTTTCTAATATTGGACGAAGAAAAGCCAAATGCATGCAACTACATGCGGGAGCCACTGTCAAAGCTACTCAATCTAATAAAAAAGACCAGGCTAGACGACATACTCTAAAACAAACGGAGTCCCACAATAGATCTGAAAAGGTCGTGGTGGACAAGGACAAATAACGTCCAACTCCTAATCTAATCTACCTACATGAAAAAATCATCATAATTATATTACTAAAAAAATATACCTACATATTTACGTATTTTTTTAACATACGACTTTGAGAATACTGGTAAGTTTAAAACTCTACGCCACTGGCGAGCATATTATGGATACTGTTTACAACGTTGCCTAAGAGATCTGTTTTTCTCTCTTCCACTCACTAACAATTTTAAAACAATAACAGTCCGCAATTGTATGGGATTTATGAATGAAACATTTTGTCTCTATGTTGTAATGTCTTTGGATTTGTCTTAGTTATGCGTTTGTTTCCCTCAAAACATACGAAAAAAACACTGTTGTCCTTGTTTGTGTGTTGGTTGCGGTAGTCTGTGGAGTATATGTGAGAACTCGACACCAGGGCAGAATTCGAGGGCCCTTGAGCGCTTTTTTATTTATAAATATTTATTCATATTAAAATAATACATTGTACGTCTACAACAAAAAATAAAATATGAAGAGATATTCTTCATCATTCCTTCCTGGGGTATCCTGGGAAGGTATGGGCTGATGTTCTGCTGCATTTTGGTGTAAACGTTTGTAGTCATGTGTATTGCGAGTCAACTCCTTACCAGATAGGTATTATTAGACTGTTTTGATTTCCAATGCTAAGAGCGGTGAGTGGTATGTGTAAATGTTATGTTGGAATTTAATTATGTCTGTTTTCCACCTTTTTCCATTGCTATCATGCGCAAGTGGTCCTTTTCGTTCACCCAAGCAAAGAAGTTTCTTTTTTCATTGGTAAAATATCCTCTACCTTCTGGCCAACATTCTCCTGTTTTGGCTCTTTCTAAGACTTCGGTTATTTCTGGACCAAGCGTGTGCTCATGTCTCATGGATTTGATTTCATCGTCCGACATATCTTTGATTCTTACATAAGTACCTTTGAGGTCCTCCGTTAATCTAAGTAATGCTGCTTCAATTCTCGTTTCTATTTCAAGATATTGTTCTTCAGAAAGTCCCGTGTTAAATGGATAATTTTTCAATGCTCGACTACATCTCACTCTAGTTGACATCACATAGGTTCCACTGGGGTCTAAATTACCTAATTTTTCAGGATCTCTGAAATCTATTTCAGGATGTATATCTTCCTCTTTAAAATTGTAATCTACTTGTAGAGCTCGATTTTTTTGTGAAGAGCACACTTCCTCATATTGTGCAGAAATCAATTTGAGTTTGTAGGCGTGGTCAGACAGATTTAAACGTGATTGAAGCCACCTGCCGCTCATCACCGCTCATACAAGTTGAATTCAGTAGCTTAGTGTTACTTATTTGTATTTGTTGCATTTATTTAGCTATTTTGAGTGTGGCATAGCTATGACGAAATGTGCTCTTCACAAAAAAAAATCGAGCTCTGACACCATATCAATTAATTTGGCGACTGTGTTGTAACAATCTGGACCAGCGGCATATAGATCTACATATTCATAATGTTGAAATCCAGCCTGAAGACAGTCTAATAGGTTCATGTCGTACATAGTAGCTTTCCTTTTAATGGCATCAAATATGTCTCTCGGTAAATATTTAATCAATGGGGATTGGGGACCACATTTTAGAAGTTTTCTGTACAAAACTTCAAGTCTTTGAACGACCACAACGGACGCCTTTCCTTTTCCACAAAGTTGTTTGCAATCCGGGCATTTTATTCTTCTGGACATCTTTTACTGAAATTTGTTTGGGTGTTTTTGTCGAAATTATTTTGGTTATTTTCAATGTCATAACACAGCTGTCTTTCAATCTTTCAAAAATTAAGCCATGTTTCTATGGGTCCGATTCGAAATGGAAGTACTTTAACGGCGAATCAACTGTTTACAAATTAAATTCGCATTTTATTTGAACCTTGGAGCATATATTACTAGAGCCATCGTCCAAATAGACTTTGTTTTGGTACAGGGGAGAAAAATAGTGTCCAGCATTCCCATTGGTCTGTTTCGTTTTGCTTGGCATGTCAAATCGTTCGAAATTGTCAGAACTGTCATTTAATTTTTTATTTTCATTAATTTCTAGCTTATTTTTGTAGTTTATAAGTGATTTTTTGTATTTTATTACTTGAAAAAAACAGGGTTGGCCCTCGAGCGCTGCTCCGGCGATCCCTCCATCGCTCAGTCCACCGTCCGACTAGATTTTGCGACTAGTCGTCGAGAGCTTGCATAGTTAGTAAAATGTTCTTAGATGTGATGTTAATGTCCGATTTTGTGCCGTATTATATTTTTCAGTCCCATTTTCAGTCCCGTCTGTAAAATGGGGGGGGTAGATTGTTTTCTTCTATTTGGTAGGTTCTCAAGATTCTGTAGTGTCAAACAATTAATCAGGATGTGAATGGAGGTTTCGTCCTGCTCCTTACAGAATCTGTGCAAGATTATAAAGCATTTAAATGAGTCCACTTATTGAGTTTATGTATGCCTTAGATGTTTTCCAGTAGCCAATAATAATTTTTAGACGGTTTTGTAAAAGATATGTTTTTAAGATCAGTTGCGTGCATGGTATATGTCTAAGGATTTATACATAGAATAGGTAAGTGCAAATCTCTATATAAAGTAGATAAATATCAGAACAAAATTATAGTAGATTTCGTTACTACCATTAAATATAATTATGTTGCATCCCAGATAGCACAGGACGTTTTAAGTATGTCCAGTTTAGTGAATCCTCGGGACGTCAAGAAATGGATATCTGTAGAACATCAATTCTACGTGCTTTATTATATTTCCATGGATTCACATTCGCATTGTATTATTTGGCTATATTATATAAACAACACATAATGAGACATTGTTGACAAGTGACATTTTATTTTTTATTATTATTTATTTAGATTCAAGCACTGAAATATTCTGAGGGCTCAGGTTTTATTAAAAAAAGAACATGGTGTACAATGTTCATGATTCGATGGAATGTACATATTATACGAGTACAAGTTCTATCATTCCGTCATTTGACTGTGATTCGACTCTGTGAGTTTGTGGTTGATTAATATTAATTTTTTGCAGTTTGTACTATTTTTATTTCTGAGAAAGGTGGAAGTTTTTCAGTGAATACAAAGCTAAAAGGTTAGTGAATTCATAATGTCTAGCAGGGCAAACTTAAACAGTTTGGATTTTCATATTGATCTGCCTTTCATTTTGAATAAGTGATTAAATCTTTGAATATAAAACCCCAGGAAGGAGCGATGTGCATATTTGCAATATGACAAAAGTGCGACGGAAGTGGCCATCTTAGGGGCGTTTGATTTGAAACTCGATCGAGCGAGCATCGAGGAGACCGAGAAGTGATGACGTCACAATAGAGCATTGAATCAAATCAAATAAAACAGAGTTAAAAACAAAACCTCGCTTTTTTGTGATTCTTGTTTCTGGTTTGTATGTTAAATTAGTGAGCAAAAAGTAAAGAAAATGGAAAAACTTTTAATAATAAGGGGTAATGGTCCTGAAATGCAGCATTTACCACAAATGCCCGCTTCGCTCTCATACTCAATGCGACTGTGATTACTGGTGATTAGATCTGGACAGAAAAAATGTATTTTCCAAACACACATTTTGTGTTTTTTTATGATGAATAATTTTAGCTATAAGACAAAAGCGGCTAAGTAATATGTTGACTTCTTGTCTGGTCTTTAATTTTGAGATTCAAATTTGTTTGTAAGTTAATTAAAAAGAGATAGGTAGAGACAAAGACAAATTTCTCCCTCTTCTCGATCTTTCTGCTCTGAGAACATCGAGCTCGCTCTATGTTCTCGCTCTAAAGCGAAACAAACACTTTAGGGATCTCTCGGAGTGTCAATTCAAACACTTTTGAAGCGCTCGGAGATCTCCGATGATCAAATCAAACGCACCACTTGTAGGGCCAGGTATGAGTATTTACTGTCAAATCGTTCATGACATTAGGTAGTTTTGGTGTGTTTGGTAGCCATAGGCGTCCCCAAAATATTTTAATTTGTTTATTATGCTCCATTTCAGTTATTTTTCATTTTATTGTTTTACTCTTATATTCTTTTTTTTATGTTTTATTGACAAAAGAATATACGCCTGATGTGATTATCACGTCAAAGAAAAAATTGTATTTTTTTTTAATATTAATTTATTAAAGATATTTTAAATAAAATCAAAATTTTCGTTGATTTTAGCTTTCCTAAAAGTGGTCCGAATAGAGAGAAATGGATTGCAGGGCCGCCGAGAGCCAGGTCAGGCCTTGGGAAATTTTTCTAGATCGGGCCCCGCGACAATTTTATAAAAAATTAGGCCCCTTCAATGTCACATTCCTAAAAAAAGGTCTTCCCTCTTGTGCTCTTGTGGCTGCCGTGACCCCACTTGAGCCGGGGCTGCGGGAATTAGTCCCGGCTAACCCTCCCCCCTCTTGTTGGCCCTGATGGATTGACTTTGTAAACAAACCAGGATGGATGCCATAGCTAGTAATGTTTTATGTTCACAACATTTTAGTGATGAATCGTTTAAAATTTGTATTTAGGCGTAAAGTTTAATTGTATTAAAAATACACAAAAAAACTTACCTATGTAAAATTGGACTTTATATCTAATTAAATATTTATTTTAACTTATAGGTGAGGACATTTAACCCAGGTCACACAAAAACTGTAAAGAATGTGGATAAAAATATATTTTCAGTTCTTAAAAATAATTATCAATGTACCCCAGCTGTACCAGGTCCATCTAAATATAGTGATACCCTGGCGATGGTCCCCACATCTATTCGGTTACGTACTCCTTCACCCTCTGCAGGCAAGTCATCTACATGTGAAACAACTGTGGATACATCCCGCGAAAGAATTTTAAAAAGGAACATTTGTGAATTGCAGTATAATGATATTATAAAAAACATTAAAATTAGAAAATTGCAAAAGAACATTTGGCGACAAAAAAAAAACAAATTTTATCTTTAAAGTGCATAATAACAGAGTTAAATAAAAAATAATTTAATGTTGCAAGAACAAGAAGAAATTTTATTGCAACATTTCAAAAAACTCAAAAGAAAAAAGTAGGTAAAAAGTTTGACCATTCAATAAGATCCTTTGCATAACAGTGCATTTATTCTCCCCAAAAGCATATAACTTTGTTACAACTAAATTTAACAACTGCTTGCCTTATCCTAAAACTTTGGGTAAATGGTACTCTTCAGTTGATGCCCAGCCAGGATTTACTTCGGAAGCATTTTAGTTTTTAAAATTAAAAGTAAAGCATTCCAGTAAAAATTTGTATTGTTCGCTTGTGTTTGACGAAATTTCAATAATTAGAAATTATTTGGAATTTACTTATTTCATAAACTTGTCTAAAATATTAAATAAAGATACTTATCTCTTGAATTATTTTTGTTTTCTTATTTTATTAACACACTGTACATATATTGATAAAGAATGAGGTAAGAAGAATTATTGATAGAGAATGACTTCTTCATAAAATCAATAATAAAGTTATTCCCCCAACTCCATTCAGGGGCACTTTATATGTATATAAATTAGATAAACGTTTATTAAGTAATGGATTAATGTAAGAATTAAAAACTTTTGGAGGTTATTATCAATTGTTTTTAAAATTAAGTAAAATGGTTTTTATTTCATATTAAAAGTCAAATAATAGGACTGTCAAAAAACGAAATACCCTTTCCATTTAGGTTCAATTCCAAACTAAATTTTTATATCTAGAAAATAATTAAAAAAATTAAATTTCTACTACGAATTTCAAAATATATTTGCTCAATTTTTTAATATTTTTTTAGTAAAATAGTTTTTAATTTGGAAAAAATAAGTACAAATTAGTAATTTTGGGGCATTTCGGACACATCAAAACCTGCAACTAGTCCCGGTCATTAAGTTATGGTTATGAATAATATTATTAATAACATAAACGTTTATCCTATTAAGATGTGTTTGTCTTTAATTTTGAATAATTATCGCACGCCTCTGTCAAAGCGGAAATGATCGTCCGCCATATTGAAGGGCCAACTCGTCAACTATTACTTTTAAATCAGCTCCTTCCTGGGGTTTTATATTCAAAGGATTAAATTATTTTCAGGTTCAGCTGAGAAGGCAAATATGGCCAAATCAAGAAAAAAAAAAAAAAAACTCAACTGCTCAATCCAAGCATGGTTGAAAAGGGCAAAGTAGAGGAGAGACGGGATGAATTTTACGAAAGTTTTAATAATTTAATAATTCATATGTTATTTGCTTTCAAATATTTTTTTTTGAAATTATTCATTATTTTCACTAATTTTCTTAAACATCCTGTTATTCCGCAATTGAGCTTTTGAAAATGTCCATGGAATGTTATTTAAGGCCGATTCCACAGTTGTGTTAAACGAAGTTTAAATTACTAAACGAAGATTAAAATGGCATTTTTACATTACCAAGGTCATTTTTATCTTCAGTTTAGAAATTTAAACTTCGTTTAGCACAACGGTGGAATCGACTCTAAATGGACGTTCTTAAGACATCCTGATTTTTAACAATGGACGATCCAAAGGCGTCCACGTCCATGAAATGGACGTTGTAAGGATGTCCTGATTGTCCAAGCAGGACATTTTTAGAACGTTCATAAGACGTATTTGTGCTATCTGGGATATACACACATCGCCAAAATTCTTGGACCCCTCGTAAAAAGTAAAACGAAATATTTATCATGGCTGCTTTTTTGTACATTAAATCTTTATTTATTTCACCGTTGATACACATTTAAAAATGTTAACATTTTAAAATTTGGATAGCGTGGATAGCAAGTTGGTGGTTCGAGCCCCGAAATTTATCATATTTAAAAAAATCAATTTTAGGGTTGATTTATTAATTATAAACCCTCTCAAAAGTGTCTGCCTAAATAACTAGTATTTTTAGAATTTTGGATCATATTTTACGACCCCTTTCTATTATGCGCAGTACCTAGTGTCCCAGGGTGGGTCTAGCCAACACAGGTATATCTGCTTTTCCATCCAAATGATTTTCAAATCACAAAATTTCAAAGTGCATCAAACACTTAATGGAATGTGTGTTACTAGCTCTTGGACTATTACATCAGGCGTAAATGAAAACTAAATAGACTTTTAGATGAAACAATTAAAATTATACCTATTCGACAAAGGATGAATGAGTTAGCTCTTAAAATTGCAAAGAACCATATCACTTCAAAAAGTACCTAACTTGAAAAACCACTGTAGGACAAAATAATGGACTTTAAAGAAAATAATGTATACAATACAATGTATTGTTATTTAAATATCAAATAAATACGTAATTATTATTTTTAATACGAACTGAAAGACTTTAATTGATAACTCTTTGGAATTACCCTATACAAAGATATTTTTTTTCTCATGTATCGAGATTCGAGAATTACGTCACAGATGATATTTCATCATAAATTTTGACACTTTGATCAATCTTTGCAATAAAATCTTGAAATAAAAAATATGATGTAATCCAGCCTACTTGATCTACATATTGTCAATCATCCCTAAATTTGACATGTTCAGAAATATTTTTTTTAAATAACTGATAGAAACGCTTCAACATGGCATGCAGTGCCAATAAAAGTGGATCGGGAAAAGTTGATCCAGAGATACTCCAAAAATTGACCACCAAATATGTATTGCTTCAAAAATCAGATTCCAAATCACTGACGAAAAAATATCTGACGCAAGAATTATTTGAAAAACTAAAAGAGAAAAAAACCAAATACAATATGACCCTCTTAGATTGTATAGCAACTGTACTAGACAATCATGATTCGTCAGTAGGACTGTATGCACCGTGTCCAGATAGTTACGATGTCTTCGGAGATCTATTTGATATAGTAATTGAAGATTATCATATAGGTTTTCCAAAATGTGCTATACATCCTCCAATGGATTGGGGTGAAGCAAGTGACTTAAAAAACATAGATCCTAACGGAAAATACGTAATTTCCACTAGAGTCCGAACTGCTCGATCATTGAAAAATTATCCTTTCAATCCAGGTCTTAGTGAGGCGCAATACAAGGAAATTGAAGCAAAAGTTACTTGCGCATTATGCCAATTAAAAGGAGATCTTGATGGACAATATCAGCCTCTGTATGAGATGTCGGAAGCCGACATGAACAAACTGATAGACGATCATATTCTTTTTAAAGGAGGAGATAGATTCCTGGAATCCGCAAACGCGTATCGTTATTGGCCAAATGCTAGAGGAGTTTTTACTAATCCGCCAAAGACATTTATAGTCTGGGTGAATGAAGAAGACCACATGCGTATTATATCATTGCAACAAGGTGGAGACCTAGCTGGGGTATACAAAAGATTAGCAGATGCTGTTAAAGAGCTGGGTAAAACGCTAGAATTTTCCAAGCACGACAGATTTGGATATTTGAGTATGTGTCCCACTAATATAGGAACGGGAATAAGAGCATCGGTGCACATTAAACTTCCTAAAATGTCAAACAATGAGGCTAAACTTAATGAAATAGCTGGGCGACTCAATTTGCAAATAAGAGGTACTGGAGGTGAACACACTGAATCAAAAGGTGGCGTACTCGATATTTCCAATAAAAGACGATTGGGAGTTACCGAAAAGGCAGTGATAAGAGAAATGTTCAACGGGATTCAAGAGCTTATTCAATTAGAAGAGAAATCATAACGAGTGAAAAAAGTTTCTGGCAAAATAAGATGTTCATGTTTTTTGTTTTATAAAATTACATTCTAGTTTTTATTATTAGGCCAATATGAAAAAATCTGGAAAATATAAATTTGATCAAAAAAACTAATATTTTATTGAAATTAATGACTCGGCATCAAAGGTCCCTGATACAAGTACAATAATATACTATGATAAGGGTTCTTACTAAATACATAAACTACTTATACACATAAGTATTTTGATACATAAAAATTTACAGAAGGAAGCCTAATTTACAAAACTATAGGGTATAGACAACTAAATTATGCTAATTTAAATATGATTGAATACATTCACCTCTTTTAACCCTTTAAGTTCTACTTTCATTAAAAAAGACCACTAAAGTAGATTTATTCCTCTCCAGGGACACCATTTTTCACAGCATTAAATGGATGAATTTTGACATCTTTTATTAGTAATTTAAAAAATATGCAAATAAAGTAAATAAAAAAAAAATACACCAAAGGGTTAAAAAATTAGTTTTCTAAATTTACTAGGATATGTAAGAACTCCTGTTCTCCAGTCAAATCAAATCAGATTCAAACTTTACTAAACACAAACTATACTAAAGGGTCTATTCTGTAATATTTTAGTTAATTTTAACTGACAGGTTAAAGGTTATTTATAACTATGTTTAAATTTTAACCCAACTCCCTATTCGATATTATTTTGTATTATTAGCTCTTTTATAGCCAATGTCTGTTAAAATAAACATGGCAACGACTAAAAACGAATTGAAATTAAGTCCAACGCAGCTTTAAAAATAAGAAAAAGAATATATTTGACATATATTCATTACTAGATTTATTACTGACATAAGTTCTAATTTATAACCAAATAATACAGAATACAAAACTAAAAATAACATCAGAGTATTTTTATGACCCATGGTTAATTTTACCCACATTTTTACAGAATAGACCCTTAAAGCTGATACTCTCACTACCTTTTTGATGTCTAACAATGAAAACTGCACACCAGAGTTGTTAATATACAACCATAATCTTATCAACACAATCAGGAACATAGAAATAATTCCGGACATTGGAAAAGGCCACCTTTCTACAATGTTTACTAGCAAGCAAGGAATACCCTCTCCTTTTGCAGACCCACCTCTAAGGCACCATTTCAATAAAGAAAACATTGAAAAAATAAATAAAATAACTCAACATTAATTTATTACCAATGAAGTCAATAACTTGTACACAAAGGTCTCAGAGAATATCGCGCAAGCAACACATCAAAAACTGCAAAAAAATGTTTTACCCATGAACTTCCTCTATATACCGTGAAACTCATTAAAACAAAACACAAAATGCTCAGAGAATACAGGCAAAACCCTAGCCAGAAGATTAAAACAGATATCAACAACATTCAAAAATTAGTAAAATAATTTCAGCAACACGCATGGCTACAGACTTCCCAAGATATCAATCGAGAACAGGGAAGAAAACTTTATCATAAAATAAATAAGATGTCAAAATATATGAGAAAAAATGGTATTCCGAATATCACAGACAATTGTTTAGTCTATGCCACAGATGAAGAAAGGGCCGATGCATTCAGTGATAACTTCCTTTAAACGTATTAAGGGGATCTCAATCACGGTATCCGTAAATCGAATAAATCGGTGATAATAAAAAATAATGAAACAAAAGACCCATCTTTTGAACGAGAAAACTGGAACGATGTAAACTCATGGTGTGAAAACTTTTTCCAAACAACTCAAGCAATGAAGAATATAACATAGAATTCGAAAGGAGGAAAAATACTTTCAAATACTATTCAATCAGAAAAACCCCAGTCCAGAATCGGACATGATTCCAAAACAAATGGGGGGAAAACTATAATATAACTAGCTTTACACGCGTGTTGTCGTGTTTATAATATCAAAAAATACAAGATTATTGTTTATTAATTTTAGAATTTTTTTAATATTTAATAATTTTTAATACTTGTTTATTTTTATTAATTTTTAATTTTTAAATTTTAATTATTTATATTTTTATTAATTTATTTTTTTTTATATCTATTTTTATTTATTATTTAGTTTTACGATACTCCCCATTCCCCCTTTCCTAAAATGTGAAAATCAAAACATCTTTAAATACGTCATTATTTACTAATAATAAGTAGCTACAATCCCAATTTTCAAGTTCCTACCTTTAAAAAACCGAAAGTCTTATTCAAACTTTTACCTTCTATTTCCCCCTTAATGTGTATTTATTTATAGGTAGCTACAATTCAAATAATTCAATTTCCTACCTTTAAAAAAAGCCATACACACATACAAACTTTCCTCCTTACCCCGCTTACTCTCTCACCCCATTTCCCCCTTTCTCACATTTCTCCCCTTTCCTCTAAAATCCCTGAAACACACCATTATTTTTTTGTGATGAGTAGCTATAATTCCAATTTTCAAGTTACTACCTTTAAAAAAATCGACGCTTCCATACAAACTTTTAACCCCCGTTCCCCCCCCCCCCCCCTTAAAATGTGAAAATCCAAAAAAACCCTGAAACACGTAATTATTTATTTATTTATATGCAGTAGCTCTATTTCATATGTTTCACTACCACTATGAAAAAAAAAAAAAAAAACATCTGTGAAAAACATATATATCCCACGAGAACCGTAAATTTTTTCGGGATAAAAAGTAGCCTATGTGCTATTCCAAACTATTATAATCTATCTTTGTGCCAAGTTTCATCCAGATCCGTTCAGCCGTTCTTGCGTGATTGAGTAACAAACATCCATCCAAACTTTCGCATTTATATATTAGTAGGATACACATTTATTTTATAAAAATGTTTGTTACAAATATTCGTCATTTTCAAATCAATGGCAAAAAAGGCACCATCATAGTTATCCCAAAACCAGGTATAGACCACAAAATAATTGATAATTACAGACCAATTTCCAGTTTGGGGAAATCTATTTGAAAAGCTCATTAAAGACAAACTATCAACATTAATAATTAACAACCGAATTCCGCAAAAAGTACAAATCTTCACTCTGGTACTAACTACACTGCTGGTTTCTAATGTACAAACAAAAAAACTGAACAATAAAAAATGTGCCATTCTATTGTTAAACTTCAAAAAAATCTTCGACAGTGTCTGGCACAACGGTATCCTATTTAAATTAAAACTTCTTAACGTGGTAATGGTCTTATATGTCTTATTAAAAACTTTCTTCAAAACAGAACTCCAATGTTAAAATAAACATATTTTAAAATGATTTAATGTCTATTATTAACACACGATATAAAAGAGGTAAAAATTTATTAAAAACATCATACAAAATTTAGCAACTTTTTGACTCACCCTGTATAGAATATAATAGTACCTAATTTTCATTATTAAGGCCAAGGCTATTGTAGCGTGATATTAATTAGGAGAATATTCTCATGTTAAAGTAAAAATTAAAATTTGAATTTTAATTATTTATGACTCACCCTGTAACTAATAATAATTTACGTCATATGTATATATTGTTTGATATTAGTAAAACGTTATTCTCGAAAAATATCTTTAATTATTATAAGGTATACACTTTTTAAAAAAGGTCAATTTCCAACGACCTGTATATCAAAAACCAGTCATAAGATTGAGTTGTGCCCATAACGTCATCCTAGATCGAAAATTATACAGTTTGATGATGGGCAAAAACATCCTCTACATTTTGCCTATCCGGCTTGCAACAAAAATTAACAAAAAACGATGGTATCAAAGTTATTGGTTGCGTCTTAGGAATGGTACATTTGGGTTAATAAGACAAGAAAATTTTTTTATTTGCCATTTTTTCTAATTTAATCTCGTCAAATTTCGTTAAAATCTCATTTATTCAATGAACGAATAAAAATCATACAATTACGTCACTGGAGACATTTAATGATTTATTTTGACACTTTAATCAATCTTGTCTATAAAATCTTGGTAATTTAAAAATACGATGTAATCCAGGCTACTTGATGCACCCATTGTCAATCATCCCTAAATTTGACATGTTCAGAAATGATGCCAAAAAATAATTTTTTTAAATAAGTTAGAAACCCATCAACATGCAATGCAGTCGAAAATGTGAAGATAAATGTGGGAAGGGAAAAGCTCATCCAGACATAGTCCAAATACTGAACTGCAAGTATGCATTGCTTCAAAAATCAGATTCAAAGTCTCTGACGAAAAAATATCTGACACCAGAATTATTTGAAGTACTAAAATGGAAAAAAACCAGATACAATATGACACTCTTAGATTGTATTGCGACTGTGCTAGATAATCATGATTCGTCAGTGGGACTGTATGCACCATGTCCGGAAAGTTACGATCTCTTCGGAGAGCTATTTGATGCAGTAATTGAAGATTATCATATAGGTTTTCCAAAAAGTGCTGTACACCCTCCAATGGATTGGGGCGAAGCAAGTGACTTACAAAACATAGATCCTAACGGAAAATACGTAATTTCCACTAGAGTTCGAACTGCTCGATCATTAAAAGATTATCCTTTCAATCCAGGTCTTAGTGAGGAACAATATAAGGAAATTGAAACAAAAGTTACTTGTGCATTATGCCAATTAACAGGAGATCTTAGAGGTCAATATCAGCCTTTGTATGAGATGTCGGATGATGAAATGAACAAACTGATAGACGATCATATTCTTTTTAAAGGAGGAGATAGATTTCTGGAATCCGCTAACGCCTATCGTTATTGGCCGAATGCAAGAGGAGTTTTTACTAATCCGCCAAAGACATTTATAGTCTGGGTGAATGAAGAAGACCACATGCGTATTATATCGCTGCAACAAGGCGGAGACCTAGCTGGGGTATACAAAAGATTAGCAGATGCTGTTAAAGAGCTGGATAGGCGGCTAGAATTTTGCAAACACAAAAGATTTGGATATTTGAGTATGTGTCCTACTAACATAGGAACGGGAATAAGAGCATCAGTTCACATTAAACTTCCTAAAATGTCACAAAATGAGGCTAAGCTTAACGAAATAGCTGGGCGACTCAATTTGCAAATAAGAGGTACTGGAGGTGAACACACTGAATCGAAAGGTGGCGTACTCGATATTTCCAATAAAAGACGTTTGGGAGTTACCGAAAAAGAGGTGATAAAGGAAATGTTCAATGGAATCCAGGAGCTTATTCAATTGGAAGAAAAATCATAACAGCTGAAAAAAGTTTCTGACAAAATAAGATGTGCATATTTTTTTGTTTTATAAAATTTGGTACAAACATATTTTAGTTTTTATTATTGGGCCAACATGAGAAAAAGTATGAATTTTATCAAAAAAGTTCATAAGATTTTGATAAAGTTTAGTTAAAAATAAATCACGTCTTTAAGAATACTTTGTTTTTTAATAATTCTATCTGAAAGGATATGGATCAAAGCTCACTAGTACTGAAGCTCTAAACTGAGTTTATGAATTTTATCTTTATTTAAATTTAAAGTAATATCATTCTTTTTTTAATATTGGCACTGGATAAAACCAAAAGGCCAGACCATTGTAGTAATCCATAATTCTTTAATTGTTTTATCCACTATTGTTACATTATTATTATACAGGGTGGACCAATCTTGTGGAAAAGTTCGATATCTCCCTTGTTGAAAGAGATATTAAAAAAGTGTATTAAGAAAATTATGGACATGTTGGAGGTTAACATTTTAAAATTATTGGGAGGTATACAGGGTGTTGCATAGCTCGTGTACGAACCAAACATGTTTTTTTTTAATGATAACCCCAGTATATTATTTTAGATTCTGTTTACTCATCTTTTTTCCATTCTTCTAATATATGGTTTGTCTATGTTATATAGGGTACTTTTCAAGGAATTGACATTTTTGTGAGAGAATCGTACATAATTCAACGTCCAGCAGCCAATTAAACACTGTAGAAAAAAATTTTTTTACCCACACGAATTTTAAAATATGATGTATTAAACTTTTTTTTAGTTATATTTTTATTATTTGTTTTTTTGTATACTCAATACTTAGACCCTTGATTTTCTTGTTTTATTTAAATGGGACACCCTATATTTTATATCACCAGTAAAATCATCTGTTCCAAGTCTTTCATTTTTATAAAGCATTCCCTATACCTAAAGTTGATATTTATCGATATTTTTTAACAATAAATGAAAATTATGGTTATTTCGATAAACTAGTTTTTCATAAAATACTCTTTATAAACAATAATAAATAATATGTGTTATTTTTTATCTAGTCGCCAATGCATTTTGACTATTTTCGAGATGATGTCTGTCTGTGTGTGTGTCTATATTCACCATAACTCATGAACCGATACAAAGAAAAACACCAAATTTTAAACTTAAGCTTTATTCCGGCGTCCAATGAACTGAATAGATTTGGGACAGAGTCGGAACATCTGGGGGGGTACTTTATGGGTGGTCATTTTTATATTTTATGGAATATATGTTATTTACGTTTGAAGAAAATTCTTCAAATAAAAGTTACTTCTAATATTATCTATAATTTTTATTTTATGTCAAATTTTCCTGATATGGTCCGTATTTGAGAAATTTGACAAAATGTAAAAAAAATAATTTTTAATAAAAATTGTTCAAATAAAAGTTGTTTGTAATATAATTCTCTATAATTTTTATCCTATACATAATTTCTCTACAATGGACCGTATTCCAGATATTGAGAAAATGTGTAAATTTCGAATTTTGAAGAAAACTCAAAAGCGGATAAAGGAAAAAAAATTAAATTTTAAACTTTAGTTTTATTTCGGACTGACGTGAAATAATTAGATTTTGGACAAAGTCGGAACATCTGGGGGGGGTACTTTATGGGAGGATGGTCCGTATTCGAGAAATTTGACAAAATGTGCAAAATTCTGATTTCTAAGAAAATTGTTAAACTAAAAGTTGTTTGCGATATCGATCTCTATATTTTTTGTTTATACATGATTTTTCAAAAATGAACCGTAATGGAAAAATTGGAGGAAAAGTGATAAATTTAAATTTTTCAGTATTTTCGTTTTCAATGAATATCTATAGAAAAATGTTTCGAGGTAGATGTATGTGGAAAATGTATATATTTAGTTTATTCTCTAAACATTTATAGAGGTGCTTCAATAGGTTGTACAAAATAACCGGAAAAAGCCTATAATAACTAGATAGGAAAGTCATGTGTTGGACACATCAGATTTTTGTTTTTGTATTTGGTACACTGACCATAAAAATAGATTCATGATCTTCTAAATCTGTAAATTGCATAAAGTGCAATTCTGCTGCACGACAAGCACCCATAATGCCCATTATTAAAACAATCTAAAATAAATTATATAATTGACTAGATGATAAAAAACGTTTTTGTAAAAGCTATTACCTTTGTCGCCAGATATTTCTCATCAGGAGCTTTATTTATGAAATTATTAAGTTGTTCTGGTGTAAACGTTTTTGCCTTTTTAGCTATATGTTTCTCTATATTAATTCGATTATTTATGTTGAGTGTGCTTCTTAGCATGGATTAGAAAGTCCATAAAGACGATGCTTTATATTTACTGCTAAGTTCATTAAAATATGCCAAAAGAACATTTTCTGTAAACGAGTTAACGTTCTTACTGCTACACCAATCTTGAAAGTTTTTGTATACACCTTTATACTTGTTTTTTGATTTTTCTAGTAATAAATTCTGTATTGCATTATTAGCTACTTCTCTTATTTCTGGATGTGTACATAACTCATCTTCACTATCTAAATTCATCTTTTTTAGCACCATTATTAGAAATTGATTTGAAAACGTCTAAATTATCTTGTTAAACTATCTAATGAAATTGCTCCCCTCAATGATAATAATTGACTGTTCCGCCTACTGAGAGGCGTTGGCAATTTAAAATTTTTAAAATCTTTTAATTATTCATTCCTTTCTAGTGGATAAAAAATCTTTTTAACATTTTACGCCAATGGAAAGTATTTATCTAGTTTAAAATTTCCAAAAATTTACTGCGCACACTATTTACATACCGAATTATCGTAGGAACCCTATTTATTTATTGATACTATTAATTACTCAAAAGCAGTTGAATAATTAATATATAAATTAATAGGAGTAGATAAAGGTTGTTGCATAAAATTCATGTTTTTAACGAACCTCGTACATGACTAAAAAATTTGGTAGCCGATGCTTCAATTTTTGGTTTTAGACCATGTAGAACTTTTTATGAAGAATAACTTTTTTGCATAAAACAAATAATAAAAAAGATCCCATATGGTGTCGGCGCATATTAATACAAAAGAAAACAAAATATATAAATACAATTTACTTCTTTTTTGTATAATATAAAAAAAATGTATAATATAAAAAAAAAACATATCAACGCTTTTTAATGCTTTTCGATTTTGTATTGTTTGTTTGTCCCGCCGTGCGTTTGAACTGGGCACAATAGTATCACTTCGACTACCGCAAAATAGTCGTGTTAAAATTGTAGTTCGGTACTGACCCGCAAAACCTAATGACGCGCAAAACCTTCCCGGCACATTCAAATATCAGCCCTTAAAATACAGTCCACATCCTTCAGATTCGGTGCGTGCACGCCCAAGCAGAGAGCCTGCCTCAGGAAGCCGGGATAACAAAAATCGAAAGGTAAGACCTCATTGGCGAAGCTTCAAAATATTACTTAGGGACCGCAACATACCGACATCTTAGCAGAGCTGGGGATGATTCGAATCACATAGGATTCGAATCCTTTTTTTTGAGGATCCGAGAGCGGGATTCGAATACTTTAGAAAAAAAGGATCCGTGATCCGGATTCGCAGAGAAAATCTTAAAGGATTCGTATTCGAATCATCAATATCAATCTCGGATCCTTTTAGAGACCAAACTACGCCGGCGCGAACGGCCGACTCAAGCTTTGACTTGTCGCGAATTGTAAACTAAAAACTAAAACAGACTGAGACTGAATAGAAAACCGATGTATTTGGCGTTGTGCACGATTACAGAATTAACAAATCAAAAAAGGAGGAGGTTCTCAATTCATCGCGATATTTTTTTTATGTATGTTCAGCGATAATTCTTTAACACGGTGTCCGATTTCAATGATTCTTTTTTTGTTAGAAAGGGGGTACTTCAGGGGTGGTTCCATATAAATTTGGTCAAAATCTAATAATTGGGTCCATGACAAAATCGTCACTCTTCATTTTTTATGTATGTTTAGCGATAATGCTTTACCACCTTGTCCGATTCATATGATTCTTTTTTTTGTTAGTAAGGGGGTACCTCAGGGCTGCCGTCCTATGAAAGACCCCCGTATCTCCAGAAAACATTATTTCGAGAAAAACGCAGTTTAAAATGTTTTGTTTGGGCGCAAAGCTATATACGGGGAAATAATTGTCTATGACAAAATTAGGAAATAATTATCATATACATAAATAATTGGATAATTGCAAATAAGTAAAGTTCTTTTTAGCTAAATGATTTTAGATTTTAGTTATATTTAAATTAATAAAATCTTAAAATATTTGTCCTTGTTTAGTCAATATCCATTGTTGCAATTTAGATCTATAAAGAACTATCGAATTTAGGTTTTTACATTCCACCGGAAGCGCGTTAAATATTTTAGGACCGAGTTATAAAACAGTATTAGATTCGAAAGCAAATATAATTAATATCACAGTATAACACTGACAGTGATTCGTATCCGTGATCCGAAAAAAAGGATTCGAATCTTTTTTTTTTTTTTTTTTTTTTTTTTTTTTTTTTTTTTTTTTGAAAAAGTATTCGAATATTGGATCCGTGATTCGAATCCATTTTTCGAGGATTCGTCCCAGCTCTGCACCTATTCAAATTTTTACAGATTATGCATACATATGCGATTTTTTCGGGTTCCCGTTCCCATATAAAGAGGATATGTTTAAGATCGTAATGTTGTGTAAAGAAACCTATTACGGACTTCAGTCCTTTCTAAGTTAGTAGGCATTCCAAACAAAATTGCTACCAGTGGGTTTTGACAGGTTATGATATGGCAAAATTATGGCAACCCTGAAGGCTTGGTAATTTGATAAGGATAATGAAATATATATTTACATAGATTGATCATCCATATTTTTCAAAATAAACAAGCTTATCCCTTGAAGTAAAAATGTAGGTAATTATTTTCTTTACTATATTCAAAGGCTAAATATTGGTTTATAAACACATTTTTTCAAAATTGATTCTGATTAATGAGCACTTACGAGGCAATATGGCCGCTCGTAAACGACCCGCTTTGAGCAATCTATATGCCATATCTAAATGTCAGTTCCCACTTGTCAGCAGTTTGACAGGTGGTTGGAATGTCTAATTAGAGCTTTTTGAGTATTTATATATATATTTTCAAATAAAGCTTGAGGCGTTCTATATTTATTTTTTCGTTTAAGAACAAACAGGAACAATGAAAAACAAACCACAACAATTGAAATGATGTAAATATTGATACATTTCTAACTTCATTTCTTTTTTTTTTATTTGGAACTTCAGAGATTAATATATTGATAGAAATGCCTTTCAAAGAGACACTTGGAAAATCGAAACTTGTCTGCCTACAGGAGCGGCACTCCGTAACAAGAAATATGAGAAAGGCAAGAGATCTTTTCTCTATCCCGACTTCTTTTGACGATTTTCTACTCTGTAACTCTCTTCGACTACTTACGATTAAACCGAACATGTACGATTGTCCCTGGGAAAGAGATCGCTTAAGAATATGTCTCGCTTTAATGTATGGAAGGGGTATAACTCTTTCTTTGTTTATATTAAGAACTTGATTTGGCAATTTTGTTTTGACATTTTAAGTTTACTTTATTTTTATGTAGATTGTCAGTTAGTAATTTATCAATAAACAAATTCTGAACTAAATATTTATTTAATCTAAATAATTCTTTGAATCTAACATCAGGAAGGCCGAATGGATCACTTTCATTTCTCATTACCTTTTAAGCAATGCATAGTTCATATTTTTGTTGATTATTTTGGGCTTCTTGCATCACATGTCTTATGACAGGATTCATCTTAAAGTTAAAATATAACTATTATACACAAATTACATAAATTATAGACTTGTTTTCATTAAATAAAAAGTCAAATTACTGGTATAATCTGAAATCACTTTTATTTTCTCCACTTACCTTTGAACACAGGGTTTGCTTTGAATTAGTGGTAAATAAAAATATTTAAAAGCAGTCGAAAATGAACTTTGATCCAGAATAATCAATGGCGTAATACTATTTTAAGAAATTCCACGTTCAAAACAAATCCAAATTTATGTAAAAAATTGGGTTTCTTTTTTTATTTAATGTGTCAAATAGAAGTGAAGCCAACAGTTTTAGGACGAGTAGTTCGTTATTTTAGAAATTTCTCTTCACAACGGAAACTCCCGATTCACTCCGAATTAAATAAAGAAATTGCTACAGAGTACAAATTTCGATACGGAAAAAAAGAGAAGATTTTTTCTCTTCCCTTTCTCTTTCGTTCTCTTCATTGCAATTTGATACGGAGTGCCACTCCAGGTGGAACAACTCACTTTTGATGACAAACAAATTAATTGTTATGGATTAAAAAATTATTTTTAGTATATAAAAAATTGTAGAAAAATCATAAAAATATTTTCTATTTCAAATAGGGAGGACATACATTCATGAAAGTTCTGAGACGTTATTTTAAAAAAATAATTTTAGAAATTATTAAGAGGGTTCTATACCCGTCCGCCATATTGGAAATGTTAATGTTCTAATTGCGGGCCTAATAATCATATAAAAAAATCCTTTTTTGTATCTGAGCTTCTTATGCATCGTAGATTGGCGCATGATAACATTTTTTTATAAACAAAAAAAAAAAATAAAATATAAAAAAGTCATATACGTATATATGTTATCACCCGCCATTCTTCATTTGCCACTGAACAATTGTGTGTTTACCATTTTTGAAAAAGTAAGTAGTTTTTTCTAAAATTGAACATTATTTAAAAATCTCAGAGGAGGTGCTGTCCCCAACGGTCCTCTTTTACGTTTGGATACCATGATAATCAATATTTTCAACATGATTTTTATTTTCTATGCCAGATGGCGCACTGTCGCGAAAATTATGTTCAGTTGCCTAAACCAATAAATATTACCGGATTCCCTCCACGCTTGATTCTTCGATCTATAAATATATGGAGAACGGCAAACAATAAATATTGTGTTTATTTGGCGAATTTTGAATTTTTAGTTTCGGTGTTGCCGTCTCTACAGATAGTTTGTGAATCCTTAGACAAAGCTCATGATAGCATTGGAAATAGTACGTTTTTAAAATTCATTTCTACAAAAAATTTATTTATTCCAAATGAAATTTGTATGTATTTATTACGAAAAACAAAATTCACAGTTATCAAATTTCATGAAAAATAAATAGGGTGCGCATAAAATTGCTATAAAATAGGTAGGTTACATAATAAAATATGAGCTTGTTGATTTTGATCCGAAATTATAAGAAAAACACCCTTACTAAAAAAAATTTCCTGAGTTCAGCTCCGAAAATTTTACGGTCTGAGTCGGAAAAAATTAATATATACCGATTTCGCTTGAATAGTGGAAAAAAGATATTCTTCGAGCAAAAATCAAGGGCGCTAATGGCCTTTTATAAAATTGCATTTTTCGACAAGGTTTTGCGTTGCATGAGCTCATTATGAAACCAAAATCTAAAACCCCATTTATAAACAAATCATTTTCTATTCTGAAATGTGAAAATAAAAAGAAAAAAAGAATGCCACTCTTGGCAACGTTGTAATTTCATGTGTTGTCATTAGTGATGGGAAAACCGGATCTTTTTAAAGATGTGGGTCAACGAATCTGGCTCAGTTGAAAGATCCGGATCAGTGAGCCGGATTTCCATTCAGTTGAATCTTTAAATATTGTATGTTTATCATCAGCCCCAACCGTTGACACACCTAGGCGAAGAAAAGCCAAAAGCATGTAACAACAACTCTTGTATTATACCGTTCAGTTTAATCAGGATTCATGTAAGTTTGACACCTTTCACTGTGCATCATATTAATATTTTTTTTTCCTCTCTTCTATACCTGTGTCCGAAAAAAAAGACGGGCCAATTTAAATAACAGATCAAGAAAAATAATTGAAAAGTATCCATGGTTATATAAATACAATCCTTAATGTTTAATTACTAAGGAAGCTTTGACCAATTAGTTTCATATAACAGTACCAAAAAAATAATTAATATTTTTTAGAGGTTAGTTCTGACATTAATACCTATTAAACGTCGTTCAAAACGGCAACATGGCTTCAGCTTACACAGGAGCTGCATTAGCCAGCTGATCATTTTTTTAAACTTTTATTTATTATTAACAAAGTAAGTGATTTGTCTGTGATTGTCATTGCGAATGAAATAACAAATACATTGAATACGCCTATAAGACATTTTTAATTGTGTGTTTTATTAGTAAATTGTGCGAGAATAATCACTACGTCAAGCAAAGAAGTGGATTATTTGATTAATTTATATATTTTTTATTTTTTTCATTGGTGTCCTTGGCTTTAACAACCAAGGTCATTAGCCTCGTGTTTTATGTAGGTTATGGATTGTAGTACTCTAATACTCCATATAATATAGAAATCTAATTTTGTCAGTCATCCACGACCGAAAATGTTATGTCTAGATGTTCTTATTCGAGAATTGGTAGACTATGCAACCACAAATGCATAGGGATGTATTTCAGACTGCCTAACAATTTCTTTAAAGGGGAGATCATGGCGAAGACGTAAGGGACGTGGATTTCGAGGTTATGTATGAAATTGATCAAGCTGATGGATATAGAACCCTCTTAATAAAAGAAAACGAGTGAAATACCCAACTTAAGAGAAAATTCCCAAATTGATCTTATTTTTATAATCATCCAAGTGAATGTCTGCTAGAACAAAATATCTGAAATATTTTGAAAGTCTCCAATTAAATTTTTTTGTAAATATAAATTACAGAGCGTCAGATAGTGACAGATGTAGGTGCCCCTTTTTCCCATACAAGCCTCGAAGAGGGTTGAGAAGTACATCGAGTGGCTTTTGGGGATAACACCTAGAAAATTCGATTTTCCTTAACAGAAATCTTTTCCGACCACAAAATACACTTATCCACTCGGGTCATTCAAGCCAATATATTTTACGGACTGGTGACGATATACGTTTTCATACAATCGATAGGCTTGTGTGGAAAAATCAGTTACAAAATTACTTCCTTACTTCAATCCTTTAGCCACTTGTAACATTAAAGCCTTTGATTTTCCAAAGACTAGTTCTATTAGTGAACACGGCTTGCGTGAAAATATGGCCAACAAACCTTTAATTTCTGCTAAGAAAAATGAAATTTTCCATGTTATCCCCAGGAACCTCTTGTAAATTTCCTTTCAGTCTACTCAAAATCAATATACTTTTAACCCTCTTCAAGACTTGCATGCGAAAATGGGACACCTAAACCTGTCACTATCTGACGGACTATTACTTCATATTGGCCAGAACAATACCAAGACTAGTATAAAAAAATATGAGCAAATTAACACCAACTGGTGATTTTTAACTATAAAGTGATTTTTATCAATGTATTTTTACCTTTACCGAATCATCCTCGATTGTCTTTAATTCAGGAGGAGGATTAAAAACTACTGGTATCGACTGTGGAGGGGGATCCACAGAAAGTTGTGTAGGAACTATGGGTCCACCGATGATTTCCATATTCTGAGGAGGTGGAGGTACGTTTAAAGGTGGTGGCACATTGGGAGGTTGTAATGGTGGCTAAAATGTTAAAAACAATGAATCACCACAATGTCCACTTAATAATCAATTATTTAGGAGCCTTCTGATTTAATAATTCTGTGGTCGGCGCTTAAAAAGTAATAAGTCGATATTACACATTTTTGGAAAATGGCGCTGGAAAATTTTGGGACACATCAACAAGGATTTTTAGAATTCAAATCGACGATCTTTTTAGGAGATTTGGTCCTGTAAAAATTAAAAAATATGTAGACATATTTTGTTTTAACTGTTTTTTGTTACAAAATTTTACTGTTTATGTTTAATTATGTCCTTTTTGTCTTTCGCGGTTACCCTTGTATTATTATATATGTTTTTTGTACCTTATTTTTATTACTTTACAACGTATATAGATTTAGATCCTTTTAACTGCCTAAAATATACACTCTAAACGTATCTTGACTAAAAACTCCATTTACTTAAAAAAATACTTGTGACCTTTTAAGCGCCGGCGACAGAATTATTAGAAGTAAATATTAGTCTGAGTGAATTAATAGGTTCAAACAAATCAAACAAATTAATAATGGATTAAAATAGTATTTGAACAAAAATATAAAGATAATATTTTTGAGACGCAATGAGCTGCTGAAACATATCAAATTCCCTTTATATAAATATTTTTACTAATTACGGGAAATGGTTTAATGGTTAAACTTTATATTCCAAGAAACGTATTTCCTGACATACACATATATTTATACACATACAATTTATATTGTCATGGTCACTCACAGTCGGTAGACGTGTTTTCGAATTGCTCCTAAGAATTTGTAATATAAAAGGGGTCTTTATTAACAAATATTACCATATTTTTGTAATAGTGGATGAACTAAAGTAGTAGGAAGTGATTGTGAAAAGAAATTAAGTGAAAAATTGCTTGTGGAACCAAGAAAACTTGAAAATATTCTGTATTGGTATAGCAGTCCACACACGTTAATTTTTTGATGCCTACAAAGAATTCAAGGACGAGAACGCTAGTCAACAGATGGACGAAAAGTTTGTAGAAGAAGTTTTTCTAAGGAAACCCAACATTATTAATGCTTTATTAACTGAGGCCGTTTGAAAAGAAAGGGTGGAATCTAATGTCACACCCAAATCTTTTACCTCTGTAATAGTATCCAGTGTTATGTCATTGATTTTATAGATATATTCAATAGGACTATGTTTTCTGTTGAAATTGATTGCATGACATTTACTTGTTTTTAATTCCATTCCATTAGTACTACACCATTGGACCAAGTTATCCAAGTCTTTTTGAAGGCAAATACAATCATGTAAGGAATTTACATGCATGAATAATTTTAAATCATCTGCAAAGCAAAGGAACTGAGAATTCTTAAAACAATTTTGGATGTCATTGTATATATTAAAAAGTAGAGGTCCCAAATGTGACCCTTGAGGGACACCAGATGTAGCGGTAAAGCCAGAGGATAAGAAGCCAGAAACACGAACAATTTGAATGCGGTTTGTTATAAAGCATTCGATCCATTTCAGAAGATTACCACCAATACCAATGTTACTAAGCTTTCCAATCAAGCAACTGTGGTTAACCCTGTCGAAAAATCAGTATATATAGCATGAACTTGATCATTAGAATCTAAGACATTCGATAAGTAATCAACATACGACAACAGGTTAAGTTCAGTGGACTTTTTGGAACGGAAACCAAACTGCTGATCTATGATAAAAGGATCAAGTAGTTTCGATAAATACTTTGTAATAATACTATCAAAGAGTTTAGGAATCACACTTTGAATGCATATTGGCCTGTAATTAGTTACATTTGATTTGTCGCTTGATTTGTAAATCTGTACAGTAAAACTTGATTTCCAGTAATTAGGAAACATTCCATTATGAAGCGAAACATTAAAGATAATATGCAGTGGACAGGACATAACAAAACAATAAGTTTTCAATAAGGAAGGTGGCAAGCCATCAGGATCTGATCCCTTACTCATATCTAAACAGCTCAGATGTTCAAATATTTCTAAAATAGATATTTGATAATTTGCAACATTTAAATGGGTTGAATATGGTTTATCATAATTATGGCATGGTTGATTGCTATAGACTGAGCTAAAGTAGTCCTGAAACATATTAGCTAAATCTGTACCCATAGAGCATCTAGTGTTGTTATAGTACATTTCGTTGGGTAACTCATTACTTTTTCTTTTTGAATTAACAAAATTCCAAAATGTTTTAATATCATTACCAACAGATGATTCAGTAAGTCTAATGTAATCATTGTAATCCTGTTTAGACTTTAGTTTACATTAAGAGCGCAAGTTAGAGAATACCATGTAGTCGTTAGAAGATCCACTAAATTTAAATCTAAGGTGCGCCTCCTTCTTTAGAATTATGAGATTTTTCAATTCAGGTAAAAACCATCTGGGAAATCGTCGAGCGGATAATTTTTTCAATGGTACAAAGGAATAAATGCCAGAATACACAGAATCGTAAAAATATTTACCATTTCATCAAGTGATTTATTTAAGAATAGTGAATCCCACTAAATTAATCCCAGATGATGTTCAATGGATCGAAAATCTGCGAATATGTAATCATAGTAATCCTCATTAGGTACATATGACGAGTTACAATAATTTACAGCAAGGTTCAAGTGTATAAGTAACGGGGGATGATATTTATCGACATTAATTAGAGAATCACTAGCGAGAGAGGTGGTTGTTGAAGATTGATAAGAAAAAACTAAATCTAAAGTAGTATTGTTATCGGGTCGGTGGTGTAGCGGTCTAACGCGCTTATATTCATTTATAGGCAAGTTTATGAGTCAGAGACTGCTGGGCTTCGAATCCCAAACCAGACCATGTGGATTTTTAATTAAATTGCATGGTTCGGTTTAGGATTTGATGTGTGCCGTATTAATAGAAATTCAATTTCTGTTGATATGACATGCAGATTATAAAATCGCCATGCATTACCGTCTCGATGATGGTGGGTGAGGTTTTTCGGGTTTCCCTCACCTGTAAGTCAAATGGCACCATCAATCATCTTTAAGTCGCCCCGGAGCAAATAATAATAATAGCCGTCCCTTTCCCCGCACAAGCTCAGCTTTTGGGGTTAAAATTCACTCGTCAGGGGGTGAATTAGGGAGAGTATTATTATTAATCATTCCGAACTGCATTGTTCTGAAAGAAGTTGTGAAAAGCACACATATTGGAGATAGTATTAATCGCAGCAGTTTCATCAGCTCTAGTTCCAGGTCCCAAGGAACTAGAGCTAGATATAAACGTTTTATAATTTTAAAAGTTTTATCAAAAAACTATAGTTTCCAGCACTAATACCAAATTTTTATTTATTTTTAAGTCTTTATTAAACCTAAATGTGATTTATTTTCAATAAACTCATTTTTACCTGCATTCCACCAGGAAGAGGCGGAGGAGGGGGTCTCACTATTTGTGTCCGATGTGGTGATGTGCTTCGGCTTTGACTTGGTGAAGCTGCCTGACTGACTAGTGGTGAAATGGTGGTAGGTGCGGGGAAAGGTGGAACCTAAAAATGATTTAAATAAATTTTGGGTGCGCAAAACTTTTTTGTTAACTTTTGGGAAATAAAAAACGTTTCATGAAAATTGCTCCTTGTTTTAATAAAAATAAAACATTCTAATCAAAGAGTGATGTATTTACATGTAACGTTCAACTTTTCTTGGTAATATTATTTATTAAAACAAATGCTGGAAAATTGCTAAAAAAAAAATAAATAAAAATGAGTACTATAAAGTAATAATACTGTTTATTTACAAAAAAAAAACAGCAATAATACAAATTTATTTTTAAAGGGGATAGATGTAAATAAACAATGGTGTTCCTGTAAAAACCAATGGTTGTGAATGGATTGAACTTGATTTCCAACTAATGAATGTTAGTAAGAAATATAATACCTAAATTAAAAATACCATATTTTGATCAAAGGACAATACTTATTTAGTTATATAGTATTAGTATTAGGTATATAGTATTCTAGAGATTGCGGATACATAATGCATTCCAGAGATTGCGGATGCATAGTGGCAATATAGGGACGACATGAAAATAAAATAAAAAAGTTTGTACCTATTTGGCATATGATTATTTTGAATCGAGCAAATAATGAATATATTTCCTTTTAGTATCAGCTAGGAATTCTTTGAAAATTTTTTTAATGAAAATTGTGGAATTAATCGTTTTAAGATATATTTTATAAATTTCTGGTAGTGAATTAAAAAGCCTTGGTATCAAGTAAGTAAAACACCTTTGTCCTAGAGTCTTTCTTGACGACGAGATTTTAAGGAAATGGGAAGTTTTTTGTCTAGAACTATATCTGTGATTTTTATCGTATAGTACTTTATTTCTATTTTTAAATGCTGAAATTAAGATAGAATGGGCGAATAGTTGGCCAATATCAAGCACTTGAGATTCTTGAAAAAGTAAATCTGTTGAGAAAATAAGAAATTTTTTTGAATCATTTCCAGTATACGTTTCTGAATTATCTCTAATGCCCTTAGATGAACTTGATAAATCCCACTCCATGCTAGTATTCCATACTGTAGCGGGTAGCCTAGACTCAACAAGTGAGTAGTAAATTATTTTTAGGTGATTTATACTCAAGATTATACTAAAATATTTAAATTTTAAAAGTAGACATCTTAATGTTTTTGTAATATTTTGAATATGCTTTTCCCACCTTAAATTACAATCAATAATGGGGTCTATTCTGTAACAATTCCTTTATATTTAACGGCCTTTAAAAATATTGGCGGCCTATAAAAATATGTTCGTATTCGTTAATTTACTTCATTAACAATCTACAGGTAGAATGCTGTGAATATCCAATGAACATTAGAAGAAACATTTTAGCCAGCCGATTTTTAATAACAATTGATGCAAAAAAATCCACTCTTATTTCAAAGATACACGAATTATTCATAGCAGATTTATGTAACAAATATTGGATAAAGAAGAAAACTCCATGCTTAGCTAAATGCTATGAAAATCTACAGGAATATGAAAACTCCCTTTACAAGACAGAAACAAATAAAATATACGAAATAGATTTTAACAAAATAGACAAAATTAAAACTTACTACCTAAGAAACTATACAAATTTTCCAAACATAAGAAACAGTCTTTTTAAATCTGACGTTAACAACTTATTTAAGAATTATTATTATATTTTTACAGATGCCTCTAAAAGCAGCGAATCCGTTGGTTGTGCAATCTACGACGAAAATGCTAACTACAGCAAAATGTTTAAACTAAATTCACCGATGAGCATATATACGGCAGAATCATTAGCATTGCTAGAAGCACTAAATTATATTACAACCATACAACATACTCAATTTGTCATTTTTAGCGACAGTAAAAGTGCACTGGAAAAGATTAGCAATATAAAACCGCGGTCCAAAATAAATTATATCGAAGCTAAGATAATACTTAAAACTGACGCTTTAAAGTTGGAAAATTAGTAGTTTTTTCGTGGGTAAAAGGTCACTGTGGAATAGATGCCAATGAAAAAGTTGATAAACTAGCCAAAAATGCTACGGACTTAGATACCATAACACAATACCTTTGTACAGCGGACGACATTAAATCCGTTATGGCTAAACTATATAGAACAGAATGGATTAATAAACATAGAAATCATACAAAGGGTCAATATTACAAAAATATTCAACCAAATATTTTAGACAAGCCTTGGTTTTCTAAAATCACAGTCACAAAAGCAATGGTAAAATCTATATGTAGATTAAGATTTAACCATTCCCTTGTACCGTCTCATTTAAACAAAATTAATATGAACGATAACCCAAATTGTTCCTGTGGGGAGTTTGGCGATACACAACATATAATTCTAGGCTGTATAAATTTTACAAACGAAATAAATGTATTTTTAGATAAATTGTTAAAAATTCCAGGCATCCATCAACCTAATAATTTAAGCTATTTAATTTCAATCAACGATAATTCCGATCTATACCAACTGTTGTAAGCGCATTTGTTAAATATTAATGTTAAATTGTAAATGTAAAATTATATTATAAATCCTTTGTATTTTACCTTTGTTCAAACCCTTCAAACTTACCGTGGTCGTCCATGTTATTGTACAAATCGTCTAGAAAGACCGTTAGGCGTAAAATGTGTCCCTGTTTATGTTTCCTCTGGGGAGAAAAAAAAAAAAAAACAAAAAAAAAAACAGAAAAAAACAAAAAAAAAAAACAGAAAAAAACAAAAAAACAAAAAAAAAATCAAACAAAAAAAAAGGGAATTTAAAAAATATGATTTAAAAAAAATTGGAAAAAAAATTAATTTACTTATATTACAAATTTTAGTTAGTAGGAATTACACAAAAATAAAACATTGTAAAATCAAAATAAGGCGAATGGATGTAAAATCCGCAGTCATAGAACCCCAAACAAACAAGCAAGCAAGTTAATTTACTTCTGTCATTATTTAAACAGATTTCTTTAAGATAGTCCTCTAATGTATTTTAAATATTTTAAAGGCCAAATATAAAGGAATTGTTACAGAATAGACCCCAATAACCCCTAAATATTTGATACGATTCGTTTTGTTTATATTAATATCAGAATTATTGTTTTTAATCGTTTGATAGTCAGGCAGGTAGTTAGCATACGATGCAAAGGGTATAAAAAAAGTTTTGTCGAAATTGATTGTTAACAACTTATTATTAAACTATTCAATTATTTTTATCATATCCACTTCAATATTCTGTTTCAGTTCTTGCCATATGTGTGAGAATTATACAGAATAACTGTGTCGTCAGCAAAACGAGTAATTTCCCCAGATATTTCTAAATTTAGCAAACTATTTACATAGAGTAAAAAATAAAAGTGGGCCCAAAATAGTTCCTTAAGGCACATCATACGATACGTTAGTTAGATCACTAGTTGGTGTGATATGCCTCTAATTCATATATTTTCCAAGGTATCCAACAAATGAGTGTGTGACACTGTATCAAACGCCTTGGCCAAATCTAGGAATATACCTAATGTAGGAGTAGCTGTATCTATTAAAAAAAATATATTTTTTTAAATTTTGACTGCACCCGAAGATGGTAACAAAGTTTTCCGAAACATACGTAGTGCTGTGCTAACGATAGAAAATAAAATTAATGATCAAATATACCAAGAAAAAATTATATTCATATAAAATTCTGCTACGGTCAGGAAATTATCCTTATTTAATTAATAGCCTTTGCCTGGACGTCAAGAGACCTATATGGAAGATAGAAAAATACTTTAATTGAGATACCATCCCATCCTGAGGAATTTTTGTTCTTAATATCTGATAATATGTCTTTAATTTCATAAATTTACAAAAAAGAAAGTAGTAGTAATATTGGTTGCCTAGATGTTTGTAATTTCTTACCAAAACACATTTTTATAAATAATTTAGTCTAAATTAGAAAAAATATTGTTATAACATGTTACGAAATGCATGTGGATTTGTAGTTTTTGATAACAAGAATCCACAACCCTTCAAGAATGGTTAAAATGATTCTGAAATCCCATGAAATGGAATGAATTGCATATATTGCAAAAAAAGCATAGATTATAAAATCGCCTTTGTGGCTTACAGAGAAAAAATACCGAGAAAAATACAGTTAGGTTGACATTGTAATGTTTATTAAAAAAAGGTGGAGATGCACTTTAAGGAAAGAAGTAATAGATGCAGGCCAAGATAGGACACTGTTACTGTTGACATAAAGGAAAAGGGAATGGCTTAAGACAGTGGGGATAATACTAAAATGTCAAGATGTTGATACTTCTAACTTGTTCTACTTGTAAGTGTTTTTTAGTTCTACATAAATTATGAGAATACGTTTGATATTTAATCTATCTTACCTCCGGAGCACCATAAGGAAATCCTGGTCTATTCCATAGAGGAGTCATTGGAAAATCTAACTGTGGGGGTGGTGGCATTGGTGGTAGACCAGGTGGAGTGTGAAATATCGCAGTTGAATCGCCACATGTTGTTGGAGCAGTCTTAACTGGTACCAATGGAACTTCCAAGGGCTAAACATTTATTTACACATTTGACTAATATTACTAATATAATGATCAAAAAGATTCAAATGGTACAGTCAAAAGCAACATTTTTATTCATGAAACATCAAAAAAGCAATCTGTTAATATGAAAATGGAGACATTTCAGATTCAAGTAACTATTATGATACAAATAAAAACAATTCATACTTTACATATGAAAATATTTGGCACAATTAAATTATTAATACATCAATGTTTGCTTCTATACAGTACATTAAGTTTAGAATATTGGAGAACAGTCTAGAAAAACAATAGCATTGAATAGAGAGAAATAGAGCTATACTTGTTATCCCACTACTGTGGTAGATGTGTCACCATGTTTTTAAACATCTAATCACGTAGGCAGATTAGACTGATTAGAATAAATTTTCACATTCTTATTTTAGAATTCGTTATATTTTTTGAATTAATGAATGCCATTTATTTTAAGGTATTTTCCAGCAAAAACTGAGCATTTTATTTGTAAGACATAACAATAACTACATAACTTTCCCAATGTTAAACAACAAGCGATGTACACCCCAAAACAGTTTGTGAAATGCTGAAATTTGTGCTGTGCTATGATCACTGACTGCGGGCAGCAGTGTCTGCCTCCTTGTCATCAAAATGGAGTAGTTAAACAAGCTTCTTTCTTTATTTTACTTACATCCAAATATAATTAAGTGTATCATCTTTATTTCTCGAAATTCCTAGGTTAACACTGTATACTGTTTTATTCTTGGTTTTATTTCAATTTATTTAAATTAAATTGAGATCACTTACAAAAAATTGGCATATTATATTAGATTTATAAATTGGATTTACAATTTTGTTAAATAATGCATCTAAATTGGAGTTCTGTATATGCAAACATAGTTATTATTTATTTAATAGTTAAAGGGCAAAGTAAAAAAAAACAAAATTATGGTTAAATTCCAAATTATAAATCAATAAATTTTTTGTCAAAAATTTCTACTATTCAGGAAAAAAAAATAAAATAAAAACAAATTGTCATTTTCGAAACTGCAATGAGAATACCTACAGATTCGACCATTTAATTTTCTGAAGCAACTTTTTATCACATATAACTATTATTAGTTATATTTTAATTTTCCAATATTTTAACTTCATTGTACTATTTTGGAGTCTATCTCTGTGGCTTGTTTTTAAAAGGGCCAAAATTTGAACATTTGAGATATAATATGAGAGCATATAAAATTAACTGCAGCTTACATGTACACGGAAACACCACCAATGGAGCTAGTGTAATGATTGGAATTATTATTAGTAAAAATTTAAAGAATAGACAAACTTCTAAAGGTTATAAATGTTTAAAAGTATCGTACCAAAAGTAAACTAAACAATAATTGAATGGTCTGGAAATAAAAGGGTTTAAGTGCATTTTTCTGCAAAATAAACAAAGTGCGATATGCTCTAAAAGTTAACTCTGCTTAGGGGTAAAAAGATTTAAGTAAATTTCACGACTCCTGGCGTCATCTTCCATGATCTTAGTGAAACACTAAAAATATTTGCAGTTTTCTACTATGGTAAAACGGTTCAGGTGCATTTGAATCCTTTTACTACTAAAACTTTGTTAGTTGCAGTGGTGGCCAAAATAGGAATAAAAATATAAGTAAACATTTTAGTTTTATCGTTTAAGCTACTAATATAGACGAGATTCACCATAAGTTTCTAGAACCTGGACACACTTATATGGAGTGTGATCACAGCTTTGGCTTAATCAAAAAAAAAAAAAAAAAAAAAAAAAAAAAAAAGGCAAATTCCTCAAGTTTTTGGCCCATCAGATTGGCAAAATGTCATAAGAAGCACATCCAAAAATTTCATAGTAGGACTAGAGAAGATTTTTACTCTCTTCCGCTACTTCACCAAATGATGAAATATCCAGAAGAGAAACTGATGGTTATCCTTTGAAGTGGAGAGAAATTTTATGGTTTCTGTACAAAAAAAAAATAAGAGGCAATCCTTTGGATACAAAGGTACCCTAAATAACGGTACTGAATATTGGATATGCATAATGGGAACATCTCAAGTTGGACGTCCATACAGAAACCTGCTTACCCTACTTGACTTTATTCCACCAGTGAATCATGCATTTTATAAAAAATTCAAACAAGATGGAGAAGCAGTGAAACGAATCAATCAACAAGCCATCAGAATGCCTTTCAATGAAAATGAAAGCTAACCAAATGCTGACGTAGACCAAATAGAGGACACAGCTGTTCCAGACAATGAGCCACATAGTGTGTAACATTTTATAATTCCATTTAAAAATGTTATTTTAATTGTGTGACATCCTGTATAAATTAGTATCAGATTGATTTACCATTCAATTATCGGCGCCAGCAATATGCTTAGAGAGGGAAATTTCTCTAGGTGGGGATCTGGCAGGCTCCCAATTTTAAAATCTTTTCATTAAAATTAATTTCTCATCTGATAACTTGAACTAAAAGTTGAGTGCTTAGACTGCAAAATATAGTGGTAAGTTTTTTAATAATGTCATTTTAAAGATATCTCAGTAAAAATTATATTTCTACTTATTTTTATTGTTATTTATTTTGAAAGTCAATTTAAATTTATTAAATATGCTTTACTCAGTTTGTGAGCTGAATTTACACATTGTCTATATTAATTAGTTTTTTGTTATCTGGATTTAATTTTAAAAAAAGTTTAAAAGTTACAAGAGCCTCGTGAAAAACAGAATTTATTTTTGTTTAGGAAGCGAATGTAAGCAGTCTCTTTCTCTCTCTCACGTTATAATGTTCTCCTTCATACTGAAAATTCACTGCTAGATACTGCTACTTGAACAGAAACTATGTTCAAATTCTTCAATTGGATGTTTTGGAGTTAGAGAGGCTACCGAGGCTATCGTTGATGGCGACATTCCTAACTACGAAGATCTACAGATATCTACATAGCGGTAAATAATTCACGAGGCTATTAAAGAACTATTGATTTTGGTATGATACGAGTTTTAACTTTATAGTGGTTTGTACCAGTATGATAAAAATCATTATCTAGAAAGTTTCAGTATTTTTTTTTTTTGTAAAATAATTCATGTCGTATAATTAAATAAACAAATTCATTTATATGTTAAATCTTATTTTTTTAAGGTTACAACAATTCTCTTTTACTCAAATTAAATTTTATGTAAGTTTTTATTAATTCATTTTTGATAAAGCTAGATTTTATAATTCTCACTAGCTTTCTAAAAATAAAAAAGAGAATTATTGGCGCCCCTCTCTCCCAGAAAATTATTATCCCAGAGGTGTCTATTAGAAAAGCCAAATTCACGACCGAGAAAACTATGGTCAATGTGCTCATTTCTTTTTAAATTGATTAAAGGTAAGTAATGTTTGGTGTTAAATTTCTATGAGCTAGTCAAAATTTCTTATAAGTGTTTTAAAATTAGCATCTTATTATAAAGTAACGCCGATCTATTACAAGTGATGAAGAAAATATTGCACTGGATTTAGATTATGAATAATAAAATGTATCTGTAGTCTGTATACTGTAGATTTATTTTTAAAATAAGGTTTATTAAATATTTTCCCTTGAATCATTTTACAACTTTTTCCTCAAGTGTAAAATGGTTGAAATACAATTTTGAAAAAAATAACGCTTGATATAAAATCTTAACACATTCTTTTTTCCTTATCATATTTATATGCTTTTAAGTGAAATAACTGTCGCAAAATATCGTTTCAAGCCTTATCCAAGAATTTTCACCAACAAAAAAGGTTTGGGGTCAATTATCTTAAAACCATGAAAAGTGCACTTGAACCGTTTTACTTCCAGGTCCCTCAATTATTATTACAACTTAGATTGAATCAAATAAATATTGAAGGATAATACACCTAAAGGTCACTCTAGAGGTGACCTTGACCCTATGTCACAAAGCACCTTATTTTGTAAAGTTTTCTATATAGAAGTTCATTTGGCTTATGACAGTAGACTAAATGTATTATATAAAACATTACCATTCTACCTCACTTTAATTATTGTTTTATAATCTTTATAAAAATCAAAATAAGTTGAACAGACTGCAGAATAGAGCAATACTAATATTATTAATAAAATGCTTTAAACTATGGATTGGGTGCCAATCAAAACTTTTTTATCAAGGAATGCATTATATTTTATTTATAAAATCAAATAAGGGTTACTTCCAATGTACCTAAACAACCATTATCCAATACGGAAGAAAAATAACTAAATTCAAGTCACAGATCAATATTTCTTCAGAAACAGTAACAGGGTTAGTTAGTTTTAATCGTATATGTATTATCTATGTTTTGACTCATGAATACAGTGTGTCTACGTAAGTTGGCTACATAAAGAAAACTTTTTATTATTAATTTTATAAAAAAAAATGTATTCTTCATAAAATATTGTGCATGATTTTAGTTTTAGACCATGTACAATTATTTATGTACATTTTTTTACTAAAAATAATAATAATAAAATAGTTTTCCATATGCTGCCAACTGTCTTTTATTATAATTTTAAGAAAAAAAGTTATTCATCATAAAAAGTTCTTCATGACATCATAAAACCTAAAATTCAATCATCTGACACCAAATTTTATCAGTTATATACGAGGTTTTAAAAAAAATAAAGTACTACTTTACACTTGAGCAAAATGTATATTTTATGACGCACCTCGTATATGGCTCAAAAAATGTAATATCTGATGGTTGAATGTTAGATTTCAGACTATGCAGAACTTTTTATAAGAAATATATTTTTTTAATCAAATTAATAATAAAAAAAAGTTTACCATATGTAGTGAACTTACATAGACACACTGAATATATTTTTTACTAAAATTATATCTAGTGATATTAACAAACTAAATCGATTTTATCCAAAACATTTTGGACATACATTTGTCCTCTTAGCAATCAATATGTACCTTATAACTGTTTTGTAGTAAACTTGAGTGGGCAATCTTGTACTTTAGGGGGCTTGTAATGCATATGTCCATACCACTCTGCACTGAAGTCTTGAAAATGAATTTTACACTTGCCACATTGTCATATTTCCATTTTTGTTTTGTCACCTATTATTGTGGTAAACTTGATTGATTATTGTGTGGTTATTAAAATGTAAAATAAAAATCATTGGTACAGGTCGACTACAGCCCTTTTTTTATTGTAACTCCCAATAAAATTTTAGACAATGTTGTGGTTCAGAAGAGGTTGTGGTATAATATATTGTAATATACCTAATATAAAATCTTATCTACTCTTTATATTTTTTTACAGTCTCTATTTGAAAATCCTACAGTTTATATCGCCACACCTGATTAAATTTCTTTTAATTTTGAGGGCAAGGAAAATCTGTATTTCATGAAAAAAATTAACCATAATAATCTAAAATTTAAGAATATTTTTGTTTATTGCTAAAAATTTTCCTTGCCCGCGGAAAATTTGTTTTTTCCTGGGGTTCAAATATTAGTATATCACTTGGCAACCATATAACGATTCCCATTGTCAAAGCGAGTAGCAATGGTGTGGACCAGAGATAACAGGAGATGTAACTACAAACCAATATTGTGCTTCACACCACATGTCTCTTCAGTCCTGATCTACAACTGGAGCGTATCTCCTGTTATCTTTGGTGTGGACATTGAAATTCCCCTAAACTACAAGATCGCCCATGAGTTGTTACGTGCATCAGTTAAATAGATTTGATATCTTTTGAATTCAAAATCATGTAAGATTTTAAAAATAAATGTAAGTATCACCTTATTTTTATCCCATAATGTAACTTCTGTTCTGTCACTTCTCAGTTGATTCAAGTAAAAAAGGTAACAACAATACTTAAATATAATATTCTTACCTTCAGTGTTGGATATCCAAATCCAGGAGGATATCCAAGAACACTATGTTTAGCAGATACCCTATATTCCCTATACTCAACTAAATTCAATAGCACCTTACTGAAAAACTGTTTGTGTTCAAATGTAAATGCAGGATGGTGTAATGCCATTGTATATAACAATAAAAATTCACTATGTAACATTTCATCATGCTCTTTATCTTTTAAATACTCTTCAATAGAGTCTGTCCTTAATAACTTCATAAAAAACCAATTGGCAACACTATAGTTTCTGGATGAAAGCACTGAAAGACATATTATTATCCTATGCCGCACACTCTCGTCCAATATGCCTGGGTTGAATGACACATCCTTAGATAATTTTTCTAAATCGTTTGCCGTAATCGTGTGTGCCCGTAAATCTAGATAAGTATGCTTTCCTAATTCTTCAATGCAGGATCCAAAGAAACGCAGTTCAAATGGTAAACACATATTTAGTAACTCATACATCAAATCTATTCTATTATGACTATCCAAGTCCTTAAACCATAATAAAACCTCCTCTTTACACACCATTTCCAGACTACATTGATATTACTGTAGGAATTTCTGCAAAATTAAAACATACTTAAAAATATAGAACAATAGGATTAATATAAGATATAAAAATTAATTGGGAAGGAGCATCTTTTTATACTGGTGTGACAACAGACATGAGTTGAGCCATGAATCCATAGGTGGGCCATGAATTAATTTATTAAACACAAATACAAGAAATCGTCTGTATCTAAATTACACAATTTTTTTTTTTTTGTAACAGGTAAAGAATTACAATATTTTACAGCTTAATGTTAGATATTTGCATAAATTTTGATATTTTTTTAACATTACTGTAAGACAGAAGCTTAAAAAATATATCAAAAAGTGTAACAGGAACTATTAAATATTTTGGGATATCTAAATTCTCTAAAAATGTATAACTATTATAATTATTCTGACAATTCAAAAAATATGTTGTTTCTTCTTTAAATTACAACATAAATTAAATTATTAAATTGTTTTACTAATTACAAGTTATTTACCTTTAAATCAAGCCCTTATATTAAACACAAAAAATCTTTTCCAGATCAAATTGCAATTAAATTAAGTTTTTTTTTGTTTTAATTTGCTGAAATTTGATTTTTATGCAATGTAGAGCTCAGAATATTTAAAGAAGAAATTGTGTGATTTAGATACATACGATTTTTTGCAGTTTGTGTACAATAAATTAATTCAATGCTGAGCCATGGATTTATAGTTTAGTCATGGATTCATAGCCCAGCCATAGGTTAATAATTAATGCTGTCGATCTGTTTCCAGCATTAAACTCATGCCTAGAATTCATGGCTGTTGTCACACCAGTTCATTTCATGTGTACTAATTGTTTTATAGGAAGATGATTATAAAAGCAAAATATGCTTCAAACTTCAGCTATTTATGTAGATTTATACTTCCCCTATTTGTAATTATTTTTTTAGGAGAATACAGCATGACAAGATTGAAATGGCAAGTCAGAATTAAATGTGCACTGGCAAATCAAAAAAACGGGAGTAGTTATCTCAGTCAATGGCTGAACAGTGATCTATTTGTGTTCATTTGTGTTAACTAAGATAACTCCTCCCATTTGAATCTTGTCATACTGTACCTAAGTAGGGGAGTGTGGTATATATTGGGACATTTTTTTCTTCAGGCCATATTTTAGTTAATTTTAATTAAAAAAAAATCTGTCTCAATATGTCATACTTGTTGGTATTGGTTACCTAAAAATTTGTTTTTACCAACAAACTGTTTAAGGTATAAAGAAAAGTCAGGTGTCTTAGTATACACTACCTGTCCTCAATAAGAACCACCCAGTGGAACTTAATAATAATAAACGCTTTTATTTTAATAATCCTCGGCGGAGTCCAGCATAGCTGTTCCACTCAACCGAGTACTGAATACAAACACTTTATATAATTAAAATAGACATTATTATTTAGATTTAAATTAATTGACGTTTTATATAGGTAAGAAAATTAACAATAAATAAACACAAACCATCTATATAAAAACAAAAGAATTTTTTTCAGTACTTTAAAAGTTTCCTATAGTTTTATTTTTAAATTGTATGAGAACGATCTCTGGTACAGAGTTCTTCTTCTTATGTTTAGGTATAACAAGAAGGTGGCATGCTACATCATTGGACAGCAATTTAATTCATATTAAAATGTATTTTTTTAAATCTGAACTCCAAATATTTTATAAAATCTTAACTACAAATGAAATATGAAACAATTTTACAAAAATAATAGATATATTATCAGTAAATCTTTCAAAAAATTTCAAAATACCTAACTATTGCATTTACTAAAATCACCATGGTAGTTTGGTTTTGGTAGCTTTCAAGCTATGTCTTCTCTTCCTAATATATATTAATCTTTTGTTTCAGGGAAGACAAACTTTGCATTCTCAAACTTTAACAAGTCCAATCATATACCACAACAGAGTGTCCCAAAATATATCACTATGTTCAACTTTTTTTTTCAAAAACCTGTTAAATGTTTTTTTTACTAGATATACACCTTAGGTATTATTACTAGTATTGATTTTTAATGTTAAACACCTCTAAATAGTTTTATAAAAACACAGAAAAAAAACATCACTACCAGGAGTACCAAGAAGAGATTTGACCATATTGTGGTGTCAATTAATGTGAAATCTGTGATTAATACATTTGGTTGACGTAAAAGGTACACTGTAAAGGATAAATAATTCATCTACTGTTTAATGGAAGGCACTAGATTGCTTTGGCCCAATATATACTATGTACCATATACCACTTTCCCCTACTTATGTTTTGAAAAAGACAAATATTTAACTTATTTTTTTATAACTAAATAATTTTTTGCTCATTGTTCAATACTTTTCTAAAATCACTTACTTACTTGAGCTTTGTAAAAAAAATACAATGAAAAAAATGTTTTGTAAGATCTTACTCAGATAAAGCCTAATTTATATATTTTATGTTTCAACTAATTTTTTTTTTAAGTTTTTGTCAAATATTTAATTTTTTCTGGCTTAATGCTGATATCTCCTCACAGAATTTGTCTCTTGGCCAGCTAAACTATTTTATTACTATAGATGGTTATAGCATTATAGCAAGGGTACTATGAAACCACACTGTCCTTGCTTATTTTCTGACTGTGGCAAGTGTGGCATCATATTGATGCCTCGCTGTCTCAAGAAGGACAAGCAGTGAGCCATCTGTTAAATGCCACACTGTACTTAACGTGTTAATAAAGCTAAATTGCTATTTAAAAAATAGCTAAGTCATCACTTAGTGGAATAAATTGTTAGCTACCCCTCTACTGGTGGTTTAGTGGCGTGTTAATCTAATAGGAATTTAATAATTATTCTTTTAAACCAATCAACTCACTTATTTCTTGTTTATTGATCTTAAAGTAAAATAGCTTTTTAACATTTTGTATAGGTTTAAAAAATCCTTGAAAAAATCTTGAAAAATCAACTTCTTATATTAGCAAATTCCTTATAGTAAAACACAATAAACTTTTACCAGTTGTATGCAACAATTTAATTTTTTTTACCTAACTGAAGATACCTAGAACATTGAATATATTCCTACCATTTGCTTATATACCCAATGTAAAAATGAGCATGCACTTAAATATTTATTCAATTTGTAGTTTTAAGTTATAAAATGTCCTTTTCTACCCATACAAGTGCTTTTGTAAGATGTTATAAAAACTCGTAATCGTGTATATGTATTTAGCATTCAAGATTTCCAAATGACAATAGTAGGGTCAAGTGTTTGGTGTTTTAAAAGTGTATTTTATATTTAAATGGAAGTGGGGTTTTGTTCAGTTAATTGGTAATTTTGAATGGAACAGTCCAAATTGAAAAAAAAACAAACTGTCACAATCCAAGATAGGGAGACATGTACCTCAAAACGAATATTGTTCACCTACTGACAAGTAAAAAGACGATATTCTCAAACATGTTTTCGCATTTTAAAATTTCAAATACCTATACAAGTAAGTATTTATAAATGAATACTTGTTCTATGTACCTTTACAAGATCAACTACATATTTATTGTGATAATTTACTTCATTAATTATAATTTTATAGTTAGTGATTAAACTTCAGACAAATAATTGTTAGATAAAAGGGGTAGGTATGTATGTGCATAGCTGTTAATCTCTTCACAAATAAAGTAACTATATTACAAATAACGTTTTGTATTATATTGTGATTGGCATTTATATTTAAACATTTTAAAGCATGTATAAATACTTTAGGTACATATCTCTCCTGTAATCTTACTGCACAGTGGGTTTTTTGTTAATAAATAAATTATAATGATTATATTATTGACCATAACCTATAAGTACTCACATTAAATGCATCCAAAATCATTACAACTTGAAGGATTTATGTTTCAATTAGACTTCATTCTTTTCTGAGAAAACATTAATTGTTATATGCTAATATTACTAACATACTAACTAAAAAATTATCAGATTTTATGATGCTAAATAACATTGACAGGATGGCTGGACATCAGAATGCTTGATCAACAAAAATACACTTTTTTTCTTCGATTTACACTGGAATTCTTCACTGTTCTTCACTACTTTTTTATTATTTTAGGAAATATATTGCTCGTCTACTCTTATAAAAAAACTCGGGGATTTCGCACACTGTAGGTTGTTACGAAAATACTCTACTAACATCTGATTATGGCGGCAAAATAGTCGCAATTCAAAAATATGTAGATATTTTCTCTGGTATAAAATTCAAAGTAGCACAAAATATGTGTGTTGAAATATTACTGGCACAATAATTTATAAAATTTCAATTCATCTACTAAAAATACTTAAACAATATATATAAATTTTTTGAAAAATATTTCTGACCTAATTATATTCAAATAGGTCGACCTCCTACCTTCACCTTTTCAAATAAATTTTTTTTTCTCAATCTGTAAGGAATATCTTTATAATATAATTTTAGGCAAAACTCTTATTTTTATATATGATGTGAAGTAATCTATTTAGAAATTTTAAATAATATATAAACTTATTTTAATTTTTAATTTTATAATACTGATCAAGAGACAACCCGATACGTCATTATGTCTTTTTCTCTCCTATTATAAAATAGATGTATATCTTTGTTTATTTTAAGTACATATTTTACAACAAACGAACTGTCATCTTAAAGTGTGTTTCGAGAATCGATTTTTATCACGGAACAACAGAGTATATCTGTATTGTAGGCAGTACATTATACCGACGTGAAATCTGGGCTGCCTACAACTAGATGGTTATACAAGGTGTCCCAAAATTCGACTACAAATGGCCTAGTGTAAACTGTAATTATTATATATTGATGGTACTTAGAAAATTTATAGCCCTCGTCTGACTGCAAAAAGTGACACGTCGCGTGTTTTTTGTTTGATATTTGTAGCTTAGACTAGGTATTTGTAGTTGGGTACAGGGTATAAGGGATGATGAGGGGTGAACCTATGTCATGTCTCGTTGGTGGAAGCTGTCGTGTAACCTGTCAAATTCAAAATAATGTTTTCTATCGATTTTTTCGTTTTTTGCTGCCAATAAAATAATTTGCTTCTAGACGTCTATGACAAAAAAATACGTTTGCAAACATTTTTTGTCGTCCGGTTTTGCTACTTTCGTTGTAAGTGTAGGAATTTTTTTACATTGATAGTAGCAAAACTGCTTACAAATGGATTGTTTTATTCTTTAAGACATCTAGAAGCAAATTATTTCATTGCCCGCAGAAAAACGAAAAATCTATCGATAAGAAATATTATTTTGAATTTGACAAATTACACCCACCAACGGGACATACTACATATTGTGCACCCCCCCTCCTCTGTACACAACTACAAGTAGCATGCAAAAAACACGACATGCCACTTTTTGCAGTCAGATGAGGCGCTGTTTTAATAATAACAATAAAATATCCAACCCATGTGTCACAAAATAATACTAGAGCTTTTATCTGCGAAACACAATTACTGCTTTAACTAATACCACAACAGGCATTGGGTTATATCCGAAGAAAAAAGCAGGTACTGAAAATTATTTTCAACATTTTAGCTTTGTTCTTGCTTACTTACTTTCGTTCTTTTAGGACCCGTCAGTAAGAAATATACATTCTCGCTTCTAATCTCTAATAGAAGCTGCAGAAGGCGTATAACTCACTTTAAGATAATTTCTCCTTTTTAATAATTCCCCGCCTGAATTTTAGCCAGTGTTTTGAGCGTTAAGCTCTCTACTTTTTTATTTCTCTTACATAGTAACAGTAGGTGTTGCTAAGTCTCTCTCCAGCCAAATTATGTTAAAATAAATTGTACTAAAAATTGTAATCACATTTTTTATTTGTACACTTTTTTATTCAACAATAATACAAATACATAAAGATATATTGACAAATTTAAAACCATAGATGTATAAAAAAATAGTACACAAATGGCTGCCAAGTTCACTATTCTAGCGGATTTACAGTATTTACGATATAGGTAATAAACATAAAAAATTATAACTTAACAGAGTGGATGGAAAAGAATAACAAATATTTGCAAGCACATTTTTCTGTAAAAATTCATGACAATTTCAAATATATCTAAATAATAGCTATTTATGCAACCAATTACGAAATGCGTTATTTACAGCATTAGTTAATGTGTTACATACAATATTTTTTCTAATTTTGGCTGTAATATTTATAAAAATGTGTTTTGGTAAAACATTACTGACATCTAGGTAGGCAAGCAATGTTACTTTCATGTATTGTTAGTTGCATATGCATAACTTCATTGATTTTATGGACAGAATGAAAATCATATTAATTATTTATTCTCAACAACATTGACACCAGATGTTAAGTTTATCAAAATTCTATTTTTATGAGTCAACCTGTCCTTCTTTGATATAAACTTTCAATAATAAATATAATAATGTACTTTGATTTTAAAACCAAAAAAGTTTATTTTCAACGGTTTTATTTTCGCAACTGGTAACATAATGATTTATTTGGTTCAACATTATGCAACTGGTTGCGTAAAGTAGATCATTTTGACACTGGTTACGATTCTAAAAAATGTACTTTATATGTCAAAATTAGAAAATGTTTTTTTGCGTGTCACTGGTCACTGTTTTTTAATAAAAGGAAATAATAAACTAACGTGTCATAAAAACCAGTAATAAAGATTTCTAGTTAACTCAATCCGAAGAAAAGTTACAAGATTATGGATTTTCAACTTTTACCCCTTATGAAATTATGTATTCATTAATATTATATATAAATATAAAAATCAATATATTATTTTTAAATATTCCATTTTTTACTTAAAACTTATTTTCTTGAAATATGTTATAATAGCATATTTAGTTATTAGGAAAGTAAATGTGCTTTCAAATAGAAGTTAGTTTTTACCAAACACTCTGTGTAGTTCTTAATTGGTCTATTCTGGTGGTGGTGCTTCTGCGGCGCCTTGTTCCTCAGCATCAGATTCAGTAGGAGTCTCCGTCGGTTCTGCAGGAGCTGCTTCTGCGGGAGCTGCTTCTGATTCTGGTACGGCTTCAACGGGTGCTGCTTCTGCACCTTCTGTAGGCGCTTCTCCTTCTGCAGCAGCAGCTAAAAAATTTGAACAATGTTAATTGTTTTTATTTATTTAAATGTTAATGTATAATACGAAATTTTTTCGAAAAGTAATATTTTAGAATACTAATTTTTTAAATTATATAATTCTGGCTATATTTCTAATATATAATTGAAGAGAGTACCAAGCTCACTATAAGTACCAAATTCATAAATACTTATAAGATAATTAAGAACATATTTTAAATGTATTTTTTATAGGCTTAATATACATAAAAACCATTCATCTGGTTACTTTTTTCACCGAAAAAAAGGTGTCTCGGTACGGCCCTGATTGATTCAATATACTAGCGGTAAATTATTAAAATTACCATCAAAACTAAAACAAAAATATATTTGAATATTTTTAAAATAAAAGGGGACATCCCGTATATACTTTGACCTTGATTTGAATTCATGACAATTTACAGTGAGCAAAAACTGTTTTAATTTTAAAATCACGTCTTCCATGATTTTCAAGTCTCAAAGTGGACGGACCAATCAGGAAATTACTTGCATAAAATTAAAGATGGTGGGCGCTTGTAAGTGTTAAGACTAAATTTAAACATTTCAAAAAAAAAACAGTGACTTATCTTCATACGTGCTAAAAATATGAAAAATTATTTCTCCAACTCATGGTAAGTTCATTAGATATTATTATATAGTTTTAGATAGGTATTGAAACAAAATATGTGCCAAAGGTTTAGCTAGGGTGACCAGGCGTCCGTTCTCCCGGATTGTCCCGTTTTTATAATAGCAGCCCCTTGTCAAATTTACATGAATGTAGTTTTTATGCCTATCAAAAATAATTTCTAGATATTTTCAAGCATGTGTCCTGGTTTTAGCAATTTAAAATATGGTCATCCTAGGTTTACCACTAAATATCTAGATTTATTTGATAGGTACATCCATTTTTCATGAACTGACAACTAATTTTGCTTGCCTTTTATGATTGACTGGTGAATATTTCTCTTTTTATATCATCATGCATTATTAATTTTAGTATGTTTGCTAATTTTTTGTTTTTAAATAATGTCAATTTGTTGTGAGAAAATCCCAATTTTAAGAAATATAAAAACTCACTAGTAAAGTGCCCTATATAATCGATATGATTGTTAAATTATTGAAATTGTGTTAAATTAGATCCTAGATATTTATCTTTAATAATAATTATTAAAATAATAATAAACACATAACCGATTAGATCATTTAATTGACGCAAGGCCTATTAGCTCAGGTGGTAGAGTATCAAACTTTATCAACTTTGCCATTTGAGACCTGGCGAGCGACCGCGTTCAAATCCTTGCGGGGACAGAATTTTTTTTTGTTTTTAAGTTTTTTTTTTGTTTAGAAAATATGAAAATTGAATAAATACGATTATTGTTGATTATTTTTTTAAATACATTTTAATTATTATAATAACCAGGTTTTACATTTTTCGATGCAAAATATTGTACATCAATTGTGTGAAAAGTGATTTTCCACACTCGTGTGATAGTCGCACTCGGCTTGTGCCTCGTGCGACAATATTTCCCACTCGTGTGAAAAATGTCACTTTCTACACTCGTAATGTAATATACTATATCAAAGCAATTGCACCTTGATTGGGCCCAAATATTTATTTATGAGACCAGTTAAGAAATGCCTATTTTAATAATACTCTCCCTAATTCACCCCCTTACGAGTGAATTTCAACCCCTGAAGTCGACTAAACGACTTGTGTAGGGGAAGGGACGGCTATTATTATTATTATTTGCCGTGGCGCTCCGGGGCGACTTAAGGATGATTGATGGTGCCATTTGAATTACAGGTGAGGAAAACCCGGAAAACCTCACCCACCATCATCGAGACGATAATGTATGGCGATTTTATAATCTGCATGTCATATCAACAGAAATTGAATTTCCATTAATACGGCACACATCAAATCCTAAACCGAACCATGCAATTTAATTAAAAATCCACATGGTCTGGTCTGGGATTCGAAGCCCAGCAGTCTCAGACTCATAAACTCGCCTATAAATGAATATAAGCGCGATAGACCGCTACACCATCGACCCGATAGGTAACTAGTTAACATTTGCGGGACGAGCAGAGCGAGGTCCCGCAACATAAACGAGTTACATAAAACGGCATTACGTAACGTGTTACATACACTATTTTTTCCAATTTAGACTCGATAATTTATAAAATTGTGTTTTGGTAAAACTTACTGACATATAGGCAACCAATATTACTATTTTCTTGTATTGTTAGTTACATATGATTAACTTCATTCTTTTATTGACAAATAGAAAATAAGTCATTTATTCTCAATGACTTATTCTCAACGACTTATTGCAGTGTTTTTACATTACTTGTTGAAGTTATTTAGATTTCAAGAAAGTTGGTTATTTTGTCATGTATCGTGTTTTAATTATTTTGTGCTGATTTAGAATGAAAAATAAGGACCAAAACAACATTATTACTAGGTTGTAGGTTTAACAAAATTCTATTTTAAAGTAAATCTGCCCTTCTTTGATATACATTTTCAATAAAAATGTATATTATTGATTTTAAAACCAAGAAAGGTTTATTTTTATTTGTTTTCTTTTCGCAACTGATGTCAAAGAATTTTTCGAAACCAATTTCATAATGTTTAACATTATGCAACTGGTTGCGTAGATAGATCATTTTGACACTTGCTGCGATTACAAAAATATCACTTTATATGTCAAAATTAGAAAAAGTTATTAATTTAAATCTTTTTCTACGAATATAAAAAAAAGTCAAAAATATATTTACAGAATCGCAAATAGTAAGAACAATTACTTTTATTTTTCTAGGAAGTGAAATAATTTACTAAAACAGTAGTTTTTGCAACAAAAGTGGAAATGAACCATCCACTCGAATTGTACAATATATTTTTCCTACGTCCCACTAAAGAAAATCTACAAATTTGGTAAAATATTTTTGGTTATTAAGCAAAAATAAATAATTTTAAAATAATTTATGACTTTTACTAATTTATAAAATAAAATAAATATAATAAAAACGATTTAAATTAATTGGTCCCCAGCCCAGATTCGAACCCGGTCTTTTTTGCGTGGGAGACAGACGCTCTGCCCTCACCGTCACCGCCACTTTCAGGATTTTAGTTTTAATACTCGTAATTACTTACTACTTTTTTTTCAAAATATGGACCAAATAAAAATGAAAATGCTATTATATATGAAATATATTCGTTCAGTTGAACGCAATAGCATACTTTTTTGTTTTGTAGTTTCTGCCAAAATAAGATAAGTACATTTTTTTAATTTTTGAGTTGAGTGCATGTCTAACATTAAAACTGTCTAAACTATGTACTGACAGAACCAGATAATTGTATTAAATGCGGTATACGTTGATACGCATGTGCACATAAAAGACTAAGTGCATTACAAGAATCATATTGGCAGCTAAAATAAGACAAGTGCATTTATGTTAGGTTTAAAAATTATTTTAATTTTACTGTGTGTATAATAGAGATAACAGAGATATAACCATTCATTGATAAAATATAATATTCACGATGCCAAGATTAATTCGAGAATCGATACACTCTATTTCTAGGGATGAGGAGAGGCGACGAATGGTGAGAAGTAAGAGAAGAGATAAAGAGAAGATTTTTACGCAATGAATAAATGTGTAAGCCGCTGTGCGCTTATAATAAACAACGTAAATATCCATGCCGTTGTGAGCTCTGTTGCCACTTCCAACCTAACATCACTAGGTTTTGGAATTTATTGAAAATTATTACATCTAATTTAGTGAAACTACATCTAATTTAGTTTAATTTAATACAACTTATGATTCAACATTTTCAGTTGCAATAAAATAGGTTGAATTATTTTAGCTTTTTTAATATATGTAAATAAAACGAGAATAATGAAATAGGCATATGACAACAGTGGATATTATACCCGCCTGTGTCCCTTAGAATATGTCTTATTCAGGACCGCACGATATTTTTTGTTAGTAGTTATACATCTCCCCGTTATCTCTGGTGTATAAGGAAATACATGTTTTGGGTAAATGTCGTCCTCTAAATGCAAATGAAATTAAAATCACAAAAGTGTACAAAAGATATAGACCCATTTCGGTTAAGAAAAAATAAGACCTACTAAAATTGTGTAAAAGTGATGTTATCCCTGAAGAATATCATCAATATTACAAATCCTTGCCTACCTCTAAAGAGGTAAAAAATTAGTTCCAAAGCCAGCAGCTGAATATTCTGATTTAGAACAACTTTCTTTAGGAGAGCAAGATAAATGAAACAAAAACAGGTACTTATACATCCAAAAGAAGATAAGTGCACAAAAAAAGTGTTTTTTCACTAGTAATACCACTAGAGGTCAAATTATTTCCGGAAATTTTTTCGAGCTCATGAATATTTTGAAAATTTCCCTCGTCGAGTCGCAGACGAGGGAAATTTTCTAAAAATATTCATGAGCGAGAAAAAATTTCCTGATATTAATTTGACCTCGCGTGGTATTCGGTAAGAAAATTCCACGCCGAATTATGGTTGAAAATTAAATATTTTTAAAATTTATTTTTCGTTTCTCAACAATGCAAATTATTTTCTCCAAGTCACCAGTGAAACATAAAAGGTGTTGTCGCCTTGATTGTTGAGTTGTCATGGTAACTAAGTGAGACCCTAACCTCGAATATAATTTCAGTTTTGAAGTTGTCAAGCGGCCCGACGTAAAAAAATGTTTCGCTGCAATTATTTAGGCCTTCAAATTGCTTATTTCTACTCATTGTAGTTGCATGGGAATACCATTTGAAAATAGAAAATAGTATATTCTTTAATTTTACGTAAGTTTTGAATAACTACAAGTGGCAGAAAATTGTTTTTCTGCGTTTTTATTAACATGCGTTATGAGCGCTTTAAAATGGTATGAAATTCATAACCAGCGTCAGCAAGCATCAATCGTAGGAGGCTGTGATCATTGTATTTTGACAATTCAAAACATTAA